TACATGTTGTAAGTAATAAACTGACTGCGGGGGGGAATTACATGACAAAATAGAAAAGGTGGCACTGATGTGATGGATGATGACTTTGAAGAAGTTTAATACAAAGGAGACTGATCCATATGCACTCTATAAAATTATTAACTTGGGAGTAGGAGGGGTGATCAGTCTGAATTGCTGTGGTCATTGTTCTTTTCCCAGTTCATTCTGCTGGCGCTCAGAAAGGGGACAGGACAAGGAGAGCAGCCACATGAAATCTGTCCACTGACAAAAATTCAGAATCTTGCACAAAAAATAATGACTAAAACTTGACTTCTGAGCTGTCTTTTGCAATAAAGTAGAATATATGGAGTTGAAACAAGTGGGAAAATGAGATCACCATATATTAAATTTCTTCATCATTTCATAACACAGAGCAAAATAGAGGTATTTTGCCATTACTGCATCAAATACTACAAAAGTCTCTAGGCAACAACTCCAGATTTGAAAAGCAGCAACTGACTGTTCAGGAAAGGCAGTTTATTTGATGGTTATCTTCTCCTTTTGAGACATGACTATCTGTACTACTGGCACTGAAGATGATAGCTTGAAAATCTGTGTCTTAGCAAAAGCCCCCAAGCTCTAATAAGCAGTGGGAAAAGAAACAGGGAGGGGCCGGGGAGGGGGGGTGAGGGGGGGGTGAGGGGAGCGAAAGGAGAAATACCACTTCTGTGCTTTGATCTGCACCAAAAAAAAAGGCAACTCATGACTCCTGCTGTGCACCCTGCACCCATGTCTGCTGGCGCAGGTGATGAGAGACAAGAGAGAGCTGGTGTCTGGGATCGGTCCCTTTTTTGTAGTTAGACAATGCAGTGTCAGCCAGACTGTTAGACATTATGATTCAGGTATTTGCTACTTGTGCAAAAGCTAGACTGAGCAAGCTGATCCGTGTGATGCAAATAGCAATGAAATTGGTCTGGTTTGCCTATATCAGGAATATGAGGCTGTTTAGCATAGATATTGGGTAGCATGCCTAAAAGATTTTCTGCAATGCTGAGATTCTTGAAGAAAGACTGCTAAGTAGCGAGAACAGGCTACCTTTTTTCTTAATCCAAACCTGAGCCACTGACTTGAATACTGGGGTTATTCTATTTGATTTTTAAACCCATGCTGTGGCTCTGATAGACTCAGCAGTGGGGAATGAGTCATGCACACAGCTCTAAATACAATGTGCACATACTGTGCTGGCTCCAGCTGTACAGCTAGTCCGGAGCCCAGAGAAGGAGGAGCAGAGAAGACAACATTCACTTAAGCCTGGGTCTTCTTTGCTGGGGGAAGCAGCCACCAGGTACTGGCAGAGAACCTCACATGAATGAGAAACAGGAGCAGGGCAGTTGATCCATGAAGTCAACATCCACAGTTCAAGCCCTTGTTCTGTACATAGTGACAACCCAATAATAGTTTTTTTTCCACTAGTCCTGTTTTCTAGGAGTGGAATGTGCCTGACCAGGGATGCAAGCTGAGCAAATCCTTGCCACAAATTTTAACCTGAATCATCACATTGTGAGAAGGATGGGAAAGTGGAACTTCCTGCAGATCTAATGTTGGTGGGGTTTACTATCCTGTTAGTATCTGGGTGATTTCACAGAGAAGTTTACATTAAAAGCTTTTAGTAAAACTTTCTGTGAATAAATTTGCTTTAGGGAAGACAACGCCCAGGCTGCAACCCCATGCATGGCTCTCTGGCTGACCAACACGGTATCTATCCGTGATGAAGTTTGTCAATGTGTCACATGTATGTCCCCAAATTAAGCTATTTCATGAAAAATAATGGATGCAGACATAGTAACCACTCAGGCAAAGTCAGGGAAGAAGGAAAGTCAGCTCCAGAGGGAAGCTGTAGGACTGGGCTGGTGAATTTTTGTTGCTGTTTTCACAAGAGGTGAGCACTACTGAGGCACTGTAGCTTTAACCAGTTAAATTACAAATCCAAGTAAAGTATCCACACATAAAGAAGAAAATTCCGGTTGAAACACGTCATTTCCTAAACCACATATGTACTTTTAATCTCTCACTTTCTTTCTTCACAGGAAAATACCTTCAGTGTAAGTAAGTCAGTTGTGCTTAAGCTTTCTAAGAAAAACGTGTTCATTCAGGAACTTGAGCTAGCAGTGTAACTTTTGTGGTAGACAATGAAGTGCAATATTGGATCTTATGCTGGGCTTCCTGAGTAATTTTTCTGCATTGTAAATTGAAAAAAAAATGCATTTTCCTCATGAGAATTGTCAGGTCACTTAAGGACATTAATGAAAACTCAGTCTCTTTTGGCTCTATGGAGTCTGCACACCACTGAAAAGTGAGTTGTTCGTATTCGCTGACACAGAGATTCAGTTTTAAGTTCTGTTTTTCATTGATTCCTATTTGAAATGAATAAGCAGAAGCTTAAGGTTGGTGTTCCTCCTCCCCCCCCCCCCCATGGAAATTTACCATTTCAGCATATACCCTATGGTATTCGTATTTTGCACAATGCGTTGTCATACATTGCTCTGTGTATTAAGCCCTCTTCTGATGAAAGCACAGGTATGTATTTATGCCATTTCATGCAATCTGGATTTCAAAAGATATAAATTATCTCTGCAGTAACAAATCTGGCAGTTAACATTTCAAATTATGAAATGCTCACTGTTTATAATGTTAAGTATTTTAGCCACAGTTGAATTAATGAACAGTCTCATTTGTGTCTTCTTAAGTCCATGTAAATCTATGTGCATATCTTAATTGAAGGCACATTTGGAGGATTATTTGCATGAAAACTGCTGATGAAGACATGTCAAAATAGGAAAGTTATTTTAAGACAGCTATAGTAGGGTATCTTCCTATCCAGGATGTTTGTTAGCTCTGACGATTCTTTGTTAATTTTGTCTGGCTGCTTTCAAGAATCTTTGGGTTCTGACAAAAGCTAATAAAACCAGCTATGAATGCTTTAAATATAACTACATTTCAGAGAATATCAATCAGAGGACTACATATGTAATGCCGGTACAGAAGCATACACATTTGTTGCTTTGTGCCATGCAGTGCCATTTAGAGAAAGACTAGTTCCCTCATCAGATTTCCATACATTTGAACTGCTCTTGCCCAGAGTTAGGGTAAACTGCACAATAAATGTTATGATGATCAACATCCATCCAGGGAACCAAAGTAGCTGCTGACCTTTAAATGTGAACATATTCACATACCAGTCTACCAACCATCTGGTGTGACCTGACATTTCTATTACTGGCACCCCTGTCTCTTATAGCCCTGCTCCAAACCACTGCAAATGTGATGATCTGTCCCCATAGTGACTGCCATCTTCCTCTGCAAAGTGTCCTTAGGGAAGTACACTTTGCTTCCTGTGGCTCTTGTATTTCCATGCCTACTCTATTCTCCAATTCCCACTGAATTGTAGCCCTACCTACTTGCCAAGGCTGTTAACAGTGTCAGCAAATCTACAAGACCAATGATCCCTTCTCCCCAGACAAAATGCCCAGCCAGGAATGGTCCCAGATAATATTTACATCCCATTCCCAGGGATTCAGTTGTTCAGTATTTGCAGGTCCAGTCTGTAGCAAAGTTGAGCATGTACCCAAGAGACACACACAGAAGTCCTTAATGTGGCTGAATGCACAAACTGCTGCGCGCACACACACACAGAGCAGGGTCAGTAGCACAACCCACCTACCATGCTACCCAAACTCACACAGGTGCAAACACTCTGTCCTCTTCCTCCCCTCCAGCTGATCAGAACGGAGGTTCTCTGGTGAAAACGAATGGCCTCATTCACCACATCCACAAATACACCCACATTCATAGCCCCCTTGAATGTTAGCATGGCCCCTAAACCTGTTTAATAGCCAAGCCTGGACATGGGATTCCTTAACTGCCGGATAGGGCAGTCTGATGTTTGCTAGTGAAACAGATGCATACACTCACAGATTCATCACATAAACACTCCCACAATGCCCTTGAATATTATCATAGGCTTTCAGTCTGCCTACTATCCACGCCTGGACCCTGGGCTCTCTTTCTCCAGTCAGTGGCTCAGATCAAGACCTCCAGATGTGGAAATGTTTCTTCCAACTCACCAGCTAGTCCAGCTTGAAGTTTGCCTGGGGAGGATTAAATTCAATGAAGAAATATAAACAGACCCATGTCTCTGCAATTGCCAGCACTTAGACCTCCTTCGCACCCACATAAAACCTCATCCTTCCAGTTGCTACCACCCAGAACTACAGCAGTGCTGCCCAAGGCCTCTTATCTGGTTGCTGACAGTTGGACCTTTCAACACACATGAAACACACATGAAACACACACCAATCCTTCCAGATGCTGGTGTTTAGCCATTCAGCCCATGGTCCTTTCCATTGCTGGCACACAGATTCTTTCATGCTAGTCCCTCCATGTGCTAGTACGTAGACTCACAAGCCCTAAGACCTGTGGACTCCTCAGGTTGTTGAAACACAGGTCTCTCTTGCCTGCCAGTTCTGCAGTAGCAGGCACCATTTTCCCACACTAGCTCTTCTCCAACCCACCATGATCCTTCCCCTCATCTTTGTATTATTTGGCCCTTTCCCTAAACATACCATAGTCATTTTTACATAAGTCCACAAACCTCTTCTGATAGCACATATCCCAAGCAGCCTCAGGTTTTCCACAATACTCATGTTAATCATGTTTCCCCCGTCAGTTGGAAATTGTTGTTCAGATTGACATTCTTGAAGGCTCTGCCTGAGTAGTTGCTTTAATGGGACATCAATCATCAGCTGAAGTGTTCTGGGTCCTCATTACTGTCTCTGTTGTGACTTCCTCCTTAATGGTTGCACGTCTGTGTGGTTAATTTATTACTTTCCTCATTTATTTCTTTTATAGTAAGTAGATCATGACCAAATAACTTAATGAACCAGAAGCTCCCATGCTCCACATACCCTCACACTGCTGACTGACAGCTGTTGCAGCACTCAGAACCACAGCATACCCAGTGATTACAGGGTCCGACTCCCGTTTATTATAGACATCTGTATGATGATAAGATAGCAACCTAGACTTCACTGTGCTGATTGAAAGTCAGGAGGCAGTTTTACATGTTTTCTTCATGTTCCAGTAGACATAAAGGCATGCCATACAATATATTCTCATTTTGCTCTATTGCACAGCAATACACAACACTGTCAGACACTCACTGACTTTAGTGCAGTATTTTATCCAGATGATGAATTATTTTCCAGACTTTATAAGCCTTTATCATGATGGTTAAGATAAAAATAAAAGAAAGAACAATGACGTAGTTGTAGTTTTCAAGTGATGTTCATCTTGTGTCTTTGATGCTTATTTGAATTATCTTCAGAAGGCTGTTCTAGTCTAAACAGGAAAAAAGAACCAAACAACTGCATCTTAGAAGAGTGTAGGGAAGGGAATACATATATACTGTAAGAGCATTACATGCAAAGAAACCAAAATTGTCTATTGGAAGGTCATAAATTAACAGTATCAGGTATCTGGCATTGCAGAGGTACTGCACCCCAACAGGATAGCACACAAAGGATATTATTACATAATTAAAAATGGAATTCTGTTGTCTGGAAGGCCACTCCTCTTCAGTCTGCTTACAGAGTTTCTCCTGTACCTTGTGAGTCCCTCTAAGTTCTGTCACTCTTACTATTTCCAACTTTTAAATCTCTATTTAAACCAAGAGACTATGTGCCTTGGACTTTACGAAATTTCCTGTCAAAACCTGCCCAAATGCTGCTGCTATTCACTACATGGCCTTTCTGATCCTGTCACTCAGACAGTTTCAACATTCTGTCTTCTCTTACCTCTTCCTCCATGGAAATCTCATGATATCTTACCTCTCCCTCCATGGAAACCTCTTTCCTCCCATGGAAATCTCATGATTTCCATGGCTACTTTGTTCATTGCAATAAAAAATGGCCACTGAATAAGGAAACTGATTTTTAGATTTGTTTTTTGCTTTGATATTTCAGGCTTGAGTTTTTAGCACAATTTCCAGGTGTCTTAAGGGGTGATCTTTAGTAGAAAATTCAGTAATAGATGAAATACAAGTCTACTAAGTGGAAAACACAGTTTAGTTACAAACTGAAAATGAGCCCCTTTGTTCACGCTCTCCCACTCCAAGTAGGCTGCCATCAGGGCAGTTAGAGTGCTGGGAATGGAGGGTGAAGTGGCTTTTTGGTGTTTGATAAATTAGTAGCAATTTATTGAACTCTTTAATTTCTATGCTGTAGCCTTCAAACTGCCAAAATGTGGTATCTTCCAATTTACTTCTTACCAAATTTGATTGTTTACTTTTTAGTAAGTATGTTTGTGCATGTGTTTACATATATATTTGTCAAAAGAGACAGAATACTTACCTCTAGAGTCAGGTTCTCCCCATTTTCCTTTCTTTGGCTGTATTTCTTTTTAAGGCACACTGCAGTTGTGATAGTGACAATAAGCATTACAACAAATACAGCTATGGTTGAAGAAACAGCTATTACAGTATTTTCTTGAGTTGTGCCTTTCCTTTCACACTTTTCTCCCATGTACCACCAGTTGTCAGATGCGGGACACCTAGAAAGTAAAAGAACAAATGTGTGCTATCATCACCTAAAGATTAAAGGCATGAAAAGGTCTACTTAAGAAAAACTGCATCTTTGATGCACTGTTTCTGTATGCCAAAACATAATGAAGTTATCTGAAAATGGACTTGTATTTTAAAGTTGTCTTGAGTGGACAACTGCCTTTACACATGTGATTTTTTCAGCTTCCTGCTGTTTTTCAGGTCATGTCTTCGGAGACAGCCTTTGCCAGAAAACCCAAGCACCATCCTGATCCATTTGATGGCTTAATACCTCTCTGCAGCTGATCTATAAAGCTGCTGCCATAGAATGATTGTCTTTAGCTTCCAACAAAGATGCCCTCTGTATCACTCAGTTCACTTATCTGCTCTCTTTTCCTTGAAGTTTGTAGTACTCATATTGATAGAAAACTCTCTTTCTGCTCCATGAAACTAATACCTGTCACTGGGACCAATGTCATATAATACTTGCTCCCACTATTACTAATTAGCCTCAAATCCTCATGCAGTTCTGCCTTTTATCATGCTCATCTTTCACACAAAGCCCTTCTATTTTCTTCAAAAAGCCTTTGTAGGAAGGAGTTGAATAAGCTCCTGGGGCAACTGGTCCACAAGTTTTACACTGCTGTTTTTTATCTGATCAATCTGCATTTCCAGGAAACGTCATTCTCCTGTTTCCTCACATGTTCTTTGAGGGTTTTTTTATTTCTCAGCTCACTTTATGCAGCAATTTGAACCTGTGAGATAAACAGGGAGGAGACCACAGGATGGACTCTCAAGGCACTTCTGACCAGATAGCAGCTGAATCAAAACTTAGCTTCAGGAATTCCCCAGTTCAGTGACTGAGCTAGCCAAATGTGCTCCCACCACATTCCCCTTTGCCTGCTCAGTGCTTCTCCACTAGCAGATATGGAATGGTCTGATGAGACTTTCTTATTCCAGGGGATAATTTTCAAATATAAGGAACTTGTATGAGCTGCCTCTGCCCTCTCCCGGGAAGTTAAGAAACTTAACGTCCTAGCAGCCATCTGGGTTTAGAACTAAAATCAGGTTCCAGGACTTGATTCCTTCACCTTATCCAGCATCACAATCAGCTCCAAAATATTTTATAGTGAACATGTAAGTATCCCATGAGCTAACCCTAAGAAGGTACATGTGCAGTACTGCTGAGTACACACCCGCTCCTTTCTAACCCAGATTGTTCCTTATGTGTTTTCTTTAGTTCCTGTCTAAGCCATTTATTCAGATCTACCTTCAACACTGAAAATGAGTCCATTTGCAGTGCACTGTGAAGACACTGACTGTTGGGGGACTTCACGTGATCTGGCTTAAAATTCTGTATCACATTCCCCCTTGTTTCTCAATAGAAAATCAGAGCAGAAACTGACTGCTGGTCATGTAATTCTCTAGGACAGAAAGTAGGTCACACCATAGGCACTAAAACTTCAAATAGTCCAGATATGTCAGAAATTAAATGTTCTCTCTCTGTAATTTCAAAATCAGGCATAACATTCAGTATAACTTTTATCTGTCTTTTTGGAACAGCTTCTTGACATTTACTCGTATTTGTGACCTCCTTCTGATGGGTTGCACAAGGATTGTTTTGAAAAAGGCTTCTAAATGGGGAGAGATAACACTTAATGAGTCATCCTGACTCTTGTTGCTCTTGGCCTTTAGGTATTTGCCTCCAGTCTACCCGCCCTGGCACAGCCTCACATAAGGTTACTATCTTCAGCATTAGAGCTTGTTTGAGACCTGGAACAATGCTAATAAGCCAGGTGGGTTACATAAATGTATCCACAGAGAATTAAATAAAAGTTGATATTAATTTTCCTGCAGGGCAAACAATGTTTTTAGGTCTCAGCTTTCATTGCTGGTTTCAAAGACAAGCAACTAGACTCCAGTAATTCATGGTCATAATTTGCACTGCACGATATTTCTGAATCAAATTGTAAAACAAAGTTTGTGCTGCTTCCTGCCTGAGAAGTATTAATCATCTTTTCCACTGATACAAATGCTCTTTTATTTCAACTGCAGTTATACGTAACTCTTCTAACTTTTGCTATAGGGATTTCAAAGGAGGTGTACAGTCCAATTTACAACTTTGGATTAAGACATTGCTGAAAACGATAAACACATTTAAAATACAATTTACAGAGGAGTCAAGCAGAGTACTTCTAACAGTCAAATGCTGTGGTTAGCAGCTCTGTTGCCCAAACTGGTCATAAGTTTAGTCTCACAGTAGCAGTTGGAAATACTTGCTTTAATCAGCTATAGTCTGTCTTTCCCTTCCCTAGGAGCAAAGATTTATTCTACTACAGACTTTCATTACTCTTCCCAAAATGGTGTTTCAGAGTGAATAAAGGCAGTTACCTGCACACCTGTGCTCTGTCTACAATAACACAAACACCGTCATTTTCACAAGGGTTCTCTGGACAGAAATCTGGAGTCTCTACCTCTGGCTTTTCAGTGACAGAGGCTGTTGTGGTGGGTGTTGTCGCAGTGGGAGGCTTGCTGGTAGCTGTGGGCTTTGTGGTGGCAGCTGTGAGCTTGGTGGTAGTTGTGGGCTTGGTGGTAACAGTGGTGATAGAGGTAGATTTGATGGTACTGGCACTGGGTGTATTCACAATATGAGTGGGTGAAACACCTGGCTGAGTTGATAGTAGATCCGATATATCTACAGGATAAAACCACAGGCAATAAGGTCTTTACTTCATGCTACTTTTACTCTTTTTCTAATGACAAGTTCTAATAGTAAAAAGAACCTCTCCACAGGTATAACTTATAAATAGTCTTTTTTATCTTTCAGGAGCATGATGTATTTTAGAAATGTCCTCTAAATTATTTCAGAAACAGAAAAATGTATTCAAAATATTCTATTCAAAATAACTTGCACAGGATTAGTATAATTTTATGTATCTTCACATAAGATAAAGGAATTATACTGTGCATGTACCTATTCACAAACATACACTTTGACTTTAGATATACGTGTAGTTCCAAAACTGGAAAGTTTCCAAAAGTACCTCAAAGTACATCATGTGTATCTATATCTACATCATGAATTACTTGGTAGGTATGTGACACTCCTTTTTTTACTGTATCATAAAGAATATCAGCAATGTTTACATACCTTCCATTGTTAAAAGAATATAAATGCCATCTTCTTTAATAAAGTTGCGGCTTCTAAGTCTCTGATGAGTTAAAAATACACTTGTTCCACTTCCTGGACCTCTCATGAATGTAGTTCCATTAGGAAAAGTTGCTATGGATCCCACTTTATCTGGCCTATCCCAAAAATATGTTGATGAAGACTCTGCGAAAAAAATCAACTGAATGTGAGTGTAGGACCACTCTGGATTTCTTTCTCAGTAGGGTCCCTTCCTTCTTAGATAACCTCTGCTGCAAGAAAGTACTGAGGCCTCTCTCAACAACCAAGGCAGACAGCATCCTATTTTGCCAGCTTCTCCTTAGCTGCTTATGGATATCACGATTATAGAGAACACAATAAATTACTTCAAACTCAAGCAGTAGGAGCAATGCTGAAACTGCCTACAGGTTTTTGCAGTTTTTTTGCTTGAGATTCTACACTGACGAGACGCTCAAGACAATGGAGATCTTCAATGGCTTGGTTTAGCATAGGGTATTGAGGAAAGAACTTGCTGGAGATTAGGTTATTGAAGAGCTGTCTGAAAACCGTTTGTGTTTTCTTTTCAGTTCTTTTCAAGTAAGTGTAGTGGGAAAAAAAGATTAGTAGTACATGAATCATCTGCAAAATGAATTGATTCAGTGCTCATCAAAAAAGAGCATCTCTTGATGTGGACAAAGGGCACAAGGTACTTGAACAACCTGAACAGTCACAGGCCACTGATGTCCCCTTCATTAAACCCTGTTCTGTATCTCAAAGCTGAGCCTGATTGTCTATGGAAGTATCTGCCAGAGGGAGAAGAAACTGCCTACTCCAACACTTCCGCTGGTTAGAGAAAGGATAGTAGTTACAAGGCTTCTCTTGGGAATCTGGGGCTATCAACAATACATGAATAAACACAGGAGAAGGAGCAGAGTGCAAACTGTGGCCATAACAGCAGAGTGCACATTTATGTCCATCTATCTGTGGAGGACCTGGTGTGCTGCATTTTTCAATTACAGGGGGGCCATTTAGTCTTTCCAGATTACCCACTTTGTTTTCATGTAGAGACAGTGTCATAGAAAAATTCATGTAAAGCATAGCATTTTAAAAATAATACTGTAAATTAGACATTTTTGTGCCTTACTTCCTTCCCTAATGATACAGTCTGAAGGCCCAGGAAAGTAGTTCAGTGGTGGAGATGGTTTGTTTTGACAAGACCCTTACATCAATGCAGAAAGTAATTTTGGACTTAAATCCAATATTTATCCAATGATGACTATTGGAGGGAAGGGAGGGTCTTTAATATCTCTCTTTATAGAGATTCCTACCATTTATCATAGTTACATCTTTACTTCCATTGCCTCCTTTCCAAGTTGTTAAGGACAATTGCTGCTTATCTCCTCACATCTTGAACAAGTACAGATTATGTAATACAAATCAGTACTTTGTCCATCTGGAAATCTGCACTGACAGCACTATACATTTTACAAGGAGGGCAGGGATTTGTTTAGTAGCTGCACTTTTATCTGGTATGAACTCTGTGTATTGTTAATTCAGTATTTTTCTTCTCAAGCCTTCTGGAAAACTTCCATTCTCATTAAAGCAGATATAAATGCATCTTCACAGAACATATGGGAGAAGTTTTAGGAATGGATCATACACCAGTTTCTTATGCAAATCAGCCTTGAAATCCAGGGTCCCAGCTTAATCTACTTGTATGTTTAATTTTCTCTGGTCTGTGGATCTTTTATATTGTTGCTGCAAACAATTAAAACATTCCAGAAGCTGAAAAACCTGCACTAATTTACACAGAGAGACAAACTAACTCCTTGTCTTTTGGTTGCATTTTAAATGTACTGCATATCATGTCTGATTTTAACTAACCTGATAATTCCAGAGGGTCTGTTGTTATACTTCTTTGGTTTGACATCCGTTGACGAATATCGGGATGCTGGTCAAGCAGAATCATGGTACCTTGTTGCCATGCACAGGGCCATTGCAACTGATCATCATTTGCTCCAGAAATCAAGTGGAAGTAAATTGCCAAATTAAAGGGATTATTAATGGTACCGTTTACATATAAGCTGACCTGAAAAGCATACCCTTCACTTGAATAGAAGGGTGGACTGTATATTCGTCCTGATGTCCCTGCTGGACTTGTATTGAGGAGATGTGTGAAATTTCTGATATGCCAGACATGGTGGGGACACTGAGTTTCCGACAAGTTGATGTCGTCAATAGAGAGGCCTCCGTTTGATAAGCCACTTCCTTTCATGCCTTGAAACACAACCCGGAATTTACTTGTGACATTCAAAGAAACATGATGGAGCTGCCAGTAACTCGCAGGTGAACCTGAAAAACAAGGGCAAGCATTTATGAAGTAAGCAGTACAGTCAAATACTGCCCAGGGCTATGGACCCCATACCAACACCATGTAAGAATTTCTTAATTCCAGTGGCTCTGAAGTGATAGAATGTTTCTCCTGTAGATGTTACTTTTTCAGTGCAAGATCATATTTTCTGAATTCAAATTTTCAACAGATTTAATATGCATAACAGCTCTGCAATTTGAGTGAAAACAGTGTTAATCATTCTTAAGACAGTTTTTTCTTTTATGTTTTTAAAGAACATTGCATTAAATTAGTCCAAATGTTGTGATAATTAGATGCACAAAGATGGCTGTCACCTCTATTATTAAAAAGAGGAAAATTCAGAACAAAATATAATCAAATTGGCATGTCTCAACAAAAAATGCTAAGAGGATTCTGGGAGCCCAGAACCACAAGGTTGGTTCATTTGGTTGGTTTTGTGTATTTAAATGACTTGTCAGAAGTTTGCCTATGCAGAAGTACTGTCCATCCATCAAATGATAAATGGTACTAAGTTCAGATTAAACCACTCATTTGCAAAACCTTCTTCATGTGATAAAACCTCACTGCAAATTTGATGCTGCATCTGAAAGTGCCTGTGCTAGCAAATTCCACTTGACTACAGAAGCAGTGTACACAAAAGCAAAGACCTCTGCACAGGGGCTTTGTAAGGTAGGTGAAAGTAGGACATCTTTTGTTAACAGTATGTGCAGCAAAACAGTTTCTTTTGCTGTCTGGTTTATGTTCATCTGCACAGAAGACGAGACTTTCATCTGCATTTATGGAATAAGCAGTGCCAGTCACAGGTACAGAACTCATGACTCCTAACAATTCTAAACACAACACAATGGATCTCAGATATGAGTCTTAATTTCTTGCCATTTCTCATTACTGTTATAATCAGGAGGAAAAAAATAAACACAGAAACAAGAACAAAACCCGCTGTCTTTTATTAAGTTGCCTTCTGCATAAGGATTTTTTGAACTGCACAGATTAGATGCAAGACAGGAGTTTTTGACTCATGTTCAGTGAGCAGACAAGCTAACTGTGCAGTAAAATGTCCCACCACTATAGCCTGCACAATATCCCCTGCTCCTGTGCCACAGATCAGGAGAAAGAGCTCAGGGCTTGTCCCTCAGCCTCTCAGGTGTGATGGTTCAGTGCAAACCCGTGAGCAGCTCAGTCAGGATGTCACACCACGGCTGGAAAGGGCTGCAGGGTCATTGTTTCTTCCAGTTTAACTGCGCTGCTGAGGGTGACTTCTCACATAAGAACAGCGAAACAGCTTGCAGGAAAAAAAATTATCTCAAACCATTGCTGAAATTTTTACCAGACATTGTCAAAGTAGGATGCCCATCTGGACACACATATGCGATCAAAGACTTAAAAGGAAATTATGGACTTGAGAAAGAAAGAATGGGGTATGGCACCTAATGAAAGAGTATTTGTGAAGAAGGCTGAACTGTGGAGAAATTAATCTTGGCTTCAAAGAGGGGTTTGAAAGAGGTTGGAGTGCTCAGACTGATCGGAAATATGCATCTGCCTCAGAAACTGTGACAATTCTATTAAAGATTCCTGATGGCACACAGGGATGATGAAAGTGTCAGGGTGTAGAAAAGAGTGGAAAAAGAAAAGAAAAACAGGAACCAGCAGCAGCTGAGCCTAAAGGAATAAGAAGACGCAGAAGAGTGGACTTGATAACCTGTTTAGTGAAAGACCTTGCTCAGACCCCTAGGTAACCTGAAGATTGGAATAGTTATAGCTGTAATGGATACCAAGTGATAGCTAAGTGAGAAAGTAATTTAATCATAAGGTAACTTTGGCAATTCTAGCTTAAAGAGCTCTTGTGCACTAACTGATGCCAGTTGCTCATTCAGTAGGTCATAAACTCCTAAAAGCACAAGAACTCAATTTTCTTCAAACTACAACTCAAATCTGCTGCCCATATATCTACGATAAGTAATTTCAAACGTTGTTTAAAAAGTAAGCTGAATTTTATGTATCTCTTTTAAACTAGTATGTTAGGTATTCCAGGACACTTACACTTTCCATTTCTTTATTATTACTTTCTTAGTCATTGCAATTTACTCTAATGACCAGCTTCATTGGTTGCTATTGATACCAGTGATTCTGGAACAGTTAAAATGACTACTCATGGAATTTTAGCTATTTTGGTGAGAAAACCATCTTGATAATGCAAGAGTTTGTAATTTGTGGTAATTGACTACATTATAGGAAAATCTAACTGAGGATCAAGCATATTTTCACCAAGTATAATTTCACCAGCAGAGAAACAATTACATAGTTAGAGAAGAAGCCACAGAATAACACTAGGAGATGAGTCACTTTGATACAATTATTTCCCACCAGTACTTTGAAAAGGATATTGAGTATAGATTAAACCAAAGTGCAGTTTTATTCCATACCTTTTATCTCTTCAATGAGTCTCAAAGTGCCATTCGGATGGGCTGAAGTATACTCCCTGACCCAGACATGCAGGCTGTCACTTTCATGACCACTGTTATAGAAATAGAATTGTAAGCACTGAAAGCCCCTTTTGGGATACAAAATTCTGCTCTCCAGGATAGCTGTGCTTCCCTCTACTCCAGTGCCAGTGTTGAAATGCATGAAGTAGCCAGAATCTGTCAAAAGTCAATGAGAAATTAATGGTAGAGGAGAAAGAAAATAGAATTTTCCTGGCATACTGCTATTCTTAACACTGCATTGTAATAACACAAGAAGACATGGTCAAGTCAGGGTGAAGTAGATTCTGTACAAACCCTCAGATCCTTGCAAGATTTTTCCTCCTTTTTCTGTCTCTAGCAATTTGTACTTTTTACCCAGTAATCCATCACTGACTGCCCCTCTGGCGGTCTGGTTTGAGCTCCTGAATTCATGAAGATTTTTCTGGCAAGTTCAGAAACAACTGGCTGTATTCTCAATTAACTGTTCACCTGAGGCAGGATAATACACATAATTTCTAAATCCCAATCCTTTCCAAGGATTTACTGAGCTATTACTGAGAAAAGCAGCAATCTTTCTGGTGTGCCTGTACCATAGGTTAGAACATTCTATACAGTTCTCATGTCAGCATGTGACACTAAGACTAGAAAACAAATGAGATAAGGACATTCAATTTTCTCAAATAAGCAGAAAATTGATTGTTATCCCTGAGAATGTAGATTTATGTTGCTTAGTTAAAAAATAAGCTGTGATTTGTTAACAAATAGACAGAGAGCAAGGCCAAGATCGAAGTCAACTCCCATGCCTCTGCAGAATATAATTGCCAGCAAGATAAGAACAGTATTTTCCCATACCTTCGCATTCTCCCATATTCGTGTGATCAGTATGTGGCCCGGCAGGAACGTGAGACAAACGCTGCCAATCACTGTTATCATCTGAACTTTGAATCATGCCACATATATTTTCAAGTTCAAAACTGCATGTGTCCATGAAACTCAGGGAGGAGGCTATAACATTAAAAAAAAAGAAGAAAAGAAAGAAAAAGTTGTGAATCTCCATTACACAACATACATCTTAATTCTGAATGTCCAAAAGCCAAGAGCAGAGAAAGACTAAAAGCAAACACCAAATAATCAGTGGCTTTGCTTACCATTAACATTCATAAGTCTAATGTTCTGGAACTCAAAGCATTTGGCAATTAACTCTGACATTCATAAGATGTTGTCAGGACCACTCTGGGCACTCAGGAAGCACAGGAGGGTGCCAGCTAATTATCAGATCACATTTTTTGTCTACAAAACCAACACTAATATCAGCCCAAACCCACCAACTTTCACAGTGTCAAAAGGTCCTGAGACTTCCCATTCATGCCTCTGCTTTCCTTGGGCTGGTCCAGACATGGCCACAGATTTTGAGCTGGAGTGCTTATTTTGAAAGTTATTTCAGCAGAAGTTGTTTCACTGAAATAAGCAAACCTTGATTTTCAAAATGCTGAACAAAAAAAAACCCAACACATTTGGCAATGGTACATTCGGAACCAATTTTTAAGATGTCTTGCATATAACAAGTGAAAAATTAAGTAAAGGAAGACTCTGCAGTTGAATATGAAAGGGAGAGCACTGTACGAAATAGTTTCTCTGTCTAAAACAAACCCTGGATGGGTAAGGGAAGACACAGTCCAGGTTTATCCCTGATCTTAGTTTTGTTTCCCATTGTACCGTGCCTAAGTTCTGTGTATCACTGGACAAGATCTGAAAACACGTATTATAATAACATGCTTTTCAAAGTACATATAAAGTATTGTGGCAGGTTTAAAGGTTTCATTGCACTACAAAAAGGACCTTGAATATCACAAAAATCAACCTCAATGGCATGCCAAATGCTTCACTTAGGCTGTGGCTCAGGGAAACACTTAAGTATGAACTGCTGCCATATCAGTTGTACTGCTGAGATATTTGTAGTGTCCTCATAAAATGCTAACGACCCTACAGAGCTGTAAGGCTATCAGAAGTGTTGCATGACTGATACCTTCTAAGCCACAGTATTGATATGATGTAAAAAAACAAGAGATTTTAATGGTAACTGTTATATTGACTGCTGGAGAAAGAATATAAATAAAAAGGGACGATTAGATGAAATAACTCTTTGAAATCAAAATATAAACCAAAATATGAAACTGATTTGCCCAAACAGAAAAGAAGTAGCCAAACTACTTTAATTAGACACTGCTGGCTGGCATGGAGTTGTGACCAGAACAACAGGAAGAGAGAAAAGTGAGAACCAATTTCTTATGATTTATTCCTTAGATTAATTCCTGAAATAGGAGAAGGGGACACTGCTTGAGGCAGGTTTTGAACTCCATCTGCACCAAAAGCCAAATACTTTCTTAGTATGTAGTGAAAGGCTGGACTTGGAAGAAAATACATGGTGGATGAGTGCTGAGTCCTAACTTCCAGTAGCTTGGTGAAAATTCATGGTTGGTTCTGTTAAGTAGTATGCTAGAACAGTAAAACAGACTAAAACCTACTGTTATCATACGGCCTGAAAGACAGTCCTGAAAAAAAGCTGAGAACAGCTCTAAAGTATCAGTCAAGATTTCTTATGCTGTGGCAAAAAGTTTGAAAAACCAAGTTTGCCTTTTCTAATGGAATTTCCTAACCACACAGGCCTTCAGCAGAAGTTAATCTTAACCTTTTCCTTGAATCATGTTCAGCAACAGAAGTAATTTTCTGATTCCTCTGGGAGGATATCTGCCCCCCAAACCATGTTTAGAATTCTCAGTCTTCCCATAACCTAAAAGGATCAGCCTAGCAGCAGAATGAGCAAGGGCTGAGACCTGTGAAGCATCCGTCCTCCCTGGCACAGGGGCCATTTAGGCAAATGGTGGGTGATCTGAAGACCACTTATGGCTCTGTAAATATCATGGGCACTATACAAAGCCAAGGGACAGACCAGACAGCAGGAAAGATCCTGATTGCACTGGAGGTGGTGGCAGATTAAGAGGGAGGAAGAAGGACCCCATTCACTGTTAAAGACATCCTTAGCTGTAATCACTTCTGTAACACCTGACTGTGTGTCAAGTGGTAGAATGTGAGGCTGCATGTAAGTGTGTGTTCAGTTTAGACCTACATGACCAGAAATATTTCACCATAATTGTATGCTCAGAAAAAAGCACTGGTTTAATAAAACTGTTTTTCTAATTATTTAAGGTATCTGTAGAATGAGGTTTCATATATAACTGTAAACTAGTACTCATTACTTGGGATATTGAGGCAGGGAAATAACAGTTTTCTTCTGAGTGCCAGGGCATGTTTGACGCAGTCACAATTACAGAATTACATTTCAGTTTGGTAATAGACTTATCTGTATTTCTTTGTCTCTTACTTTCACTCAACTTTCTAAAATAAATCCCGTATAAGCAAAATAACTCTTCTGACCACCTTTGTAAGAGACTGGGTTTGAAACTAAAAGGAAAAAATCTAAAAAGCAAGCATTTTCTTCATAACAGCATCTGTACCCTATTTGCTTGAACACTGGCGGTCTCACAGATTCCGTGGAAGAGCAGCAGGTACCATAGCCACAGCAAAGATACTCATTTCTGTACAGTGTCTGAGCAACAGCTGTGCAATAATGGAGGAAAACAAAACAGAAAGCTTTGTGCAGAAGCACACATTTTAAACAGCCACCCAAGGGAGGAACAAAAATCAGCTGCTGAGTGAAGCTGGTTTTTAGCTAAGGTCAGATGATATTGCACAGAAAACTCTGCTGCATAGCAGTGTTTCTGCAGGAGGTCTATGCTTTCCCTAGCTGTACCATTATTTATGGTGTTTTTAACACAATTCACTTCTGCAAATACGTTAGCATCTCTTTCACTTGTGCCTGGATGAGTCCAGTGTGTACGTATCACTCTCTTTTCTTTCAGATGCCAGAAGTGAAGAAGTTTAAAAGCAATGGAGAAACTTACAGCAATTGTACAGCCGGTTCAGTTTCTGGAGATCATAATCACTGAAATCCATTCGCTGTCCTATAATCCCCATGAAGTCTGGTATGTTAGTGACAATGGTCGGTTCCATTCCATTCCTGAATGCATTCTGGCTATAGTGCATCACAGAATTATAGTCATAAGGGACATTCAGGGAGTCTGATGTTTTATCATCATATTTTTTGAAATTATGTTCTGTACCTAAATGGGAAAAACAAAAGGGAAGATTTTTTGTTGCCCAAGAGGACCAAGTTCTGTGTAAAGACTCAATGTGACAGAGAATTCATCAGATCCCAGAGTGTTTTTTGTAGTCATTTACTTGTCCTTGCTCTGTAAAACTATTTCTAGTCTGTAGTTATTTACTTTCCTCTTTCAGCCACTGGAACATAACACAATGACTTCTGCTGGATAAAACAATGCTTTTTGCTACCAGAAAACTTTTTGCTGTGAAACACCTGTAAACTTTCGTGGCTTTATGATTCCCAAAAGTGGAGATACTGTTTCATACTCAGATCAATGCAATTTGCAACTGCAGTGAATCCCTGTTTCTAATCTGTATTCTTGATATATAATTGCTGGTCATCTTAGCTCACAATAAACCAGTTAGTGCTTTTATCAGATAAGCATCCACAATTTACCTTTACAGATATTTTCTGGAGTATGAGCAAAACCCCATTACTAACTATAAGGCAAACACTTTAAATTAGTCAAAATACAGTAACTATACTCTGGTCAGTGTAAAAAGCTGCAGCAGTTTCAAATGTCTAACAATAGTGCAACTCGTTATTAAAGAGTCAGCAAAGTATAATGGAAATCAAATAACAGTGAAAGTCATTTTCTGTAATGTATGCTTGCATATGCACCTGACTATTGATCACTACTGAAGAAGAATGCATTAGACTTAATCATTGGCTACTTTTTCAGTCTTCTGTGTGTACCTGTGTTAGGGAAACATGGAGTTTGTGTATATAACTTTGTTTTTGGACTGCCTGAAAGGCACAGAGGACAAGCTGAAGAGACTGAGTCCCAAGGATCCCTGTGCCAGCTTTCAGGCTTGTGCCAAATACACCATGGCTTATATTCACAAGTTGCATTACTAAAGTAACTGCTCATGTGATGCGGACCCCAAGAAGGGTCCCCCCTACCTGCACACCCTCTCTGCATGCTCTGCTGTCTCAGTTCTGCTGCACCAGGTGTAGCGGTCGGCAGGAAAGGATGACCAGTGTTTTCACTAGAGATTTTCTACTGACTCCGGCCATGCTGGATTTTTCAGAGTGGGATTCTTTTTCAATTATTTGTGTTTTGTTAAGGGCTCTCAGACTAACAGTGCTTTCAGGGTATTCATTTTAACAAACCAAATTACTCCCTTCTGCTGCTCTGCTGTACTACATGTAGCATACCAGCACTCAGACCTCTAGCTAGGGCTTTGGCAACTGCTGTGGCACAATCAATAACCACAACAACCACAAACAAGGCTTTCTGTCCTGACTAGGTGTCACTTGATATTTCGTTCACTAATACACTGGCTTTGAAACGCAAGTCCAGGTAAGAAGAGAATAGTGTAACCACCAAAGGGTGGCTGGAAGCTATGTTCCACTGCTGAACCCCTAACACCAGAGCCTGAAAGGAAAATCAGGTAACTGACCTGACAGAACCCTCTCCCAGATGATGGACACATAGTCATCCCGGTCGGACCGCGACTGCTCATGCCAGAATCCCAAGGCATGCAGGAACTCGTGCTGGATCGTCGCGATCCTGTCACAGCCAGCTCCAATGGAGAGTTCCTGCAACCCCCTTTGGAGGTTTCCCACTGAGGACCAGCAGCTAGCATTGAAATAAGATGAGAGAGGGCTCTGTGAGATACGTGCCATCCCCATGCCATGCGAACTCCAGAATCAGTCTGTTTAACAGGGACAGTTTTGAGTGTTGAAGTTACATTTTGCTACAGAGAGCACTTATTCATTGATCTGGTCCTTCTCAGATCCTTTCCTCTCACATTTAGCTCTGTTTTGATGAACAAACAGTTCTCCTATTCTGGCTCTACTGTTTTTAATGGGTTTTCTTTAGCAGAAGAATGTTGAGCTATTTGTAACAGAAGAAAACTGTTAAGGATTTCATTGGCACTCTGGTAAACATTAAAGACTATGGACACAGAGCAATTAAGTTACTGCAGATTAACAGTTCTCAGATGGATCACAGTATGTGACTGTAGTGCACTTTGAGCCAGTCCCTGTTGTAAGGGGAACCAGGTTCATGCACATTCTTGCCTCTGCCACTGCAGCTGCTTCTCTCCATTGTTTTGGCCTTTTTCTCTGTAAGGGGCTGTGGCTGCCAGGCAAGATGCACTTCTTTGTGGCTGTGTTTACCTTCCGAAACGCTGCTAGATTTGATAGTGCTTTTCACAAGCTCTTTCCTTTCTTTCTATCTGTGAGTTTCTGTTCTAGAGCACTTGCTGCTGACACACACTCACAAGGAAGAGCAAAACTGCAGCTGTGCTGGAAGTTTTTATTAAAGTATAAAAATGTCAAGTGGGCTATCTGCACGAGCCAATAAGATGGCACCCCATGTCCACAAACCAGCAAGCACAGAGAGCTACGTTTAAATTGATATTTTAAGCAGCAAATAAATCAACACTTACCCAATGAAGTACATAAAACTAATCAGGCACAAAATATGCCATAGGATTTGAAGTCCTGTCACCCCAGAAATTTAAAAACAAAAGCACCCATGCGCTTTTGAACCCTGTAACTTATTAGTACAACATATTCCCTAGTATTTCTCTTTCCACAAAGCAGCATAGGCCTTGGCTGTTGATTACTTATTAAAATCACAGTATGACACCTCAGAATAAGCACACATGGCATCCATAATTTCACAGGCTTGCCTTGAACAAGGCCTCATATTGATTATGCAGCTTTTTCTTGTGTTGTGCGGAAGTCTAAGAAGTCCATCACACTTCTGGGTCCATCTCATACCAAAGCAGCTGCCCCTGGCTTCACACAGCAGGCTACAGGCAAAATTAGCATCTGAACACCAGGGGGCGCAGCTCCTGCCTTCCCTGCAGACTACCAAATGCAGCCACAGAGGGAATAAATACATGGTCTGTGTTACCCAGCACTGAGAATAAAACCAAGCAAGTGAGACATAGCGCACCAGAGCAACGAGCACCTGGAATCCCCTGTTAGGAGGGTCTTCAGGAAGGGAAAAAATGGGAGAAAGTCCCAGTTTTACAAGTGTGTGAGAGCTCTGATCCTATGCTTTCTGCATTGCTAGTTGGTCTATCAGAGGCTAGAGAAACAGGAAGGTATCTGCTCTGACTAATTCCACCAGCCTTCTTTTTGGAAGGTGAGCTCTAAGTAGATACATGCCATTAGTAGCAATGATGCTACTTATTTCAAGCACATTTCTATCCTAATGTCCTGCTAGCAAATAACTTCCCATAGTATCACAGCTCACCAGTACAAGCACATAAACACTTTGATTTTCCAGCACCAAGCTGGTTAGCCAGGGAACTGTATTAATCCATTTCTGGGTGGGTTCTCTTTGCCGTGTGACACAGTGGCAAAGAGCTGAATTCACACCCCCAGGAGAACTCCATGAGAACCTGATTTTCCATCTGGAAATAATAGAGACGGTGTTGATCCTCCCTGGTCTGCTAACCACTTGGCTCTTCCACACCATGCAAAATTTCCTGCTGAATGAGTCCTCTATTCATGAGAAGAATACAGAGATGACACTACATACGGTACTTCAGAGTCTACAAATGTGTTATTTGCACAGGGCAGTCAACACAACAAAACAGCAGCTGGCTTCTTTTGTGGCTGACTTCATTTGGATTCAAAAGGATAATCCAGATGAGGACTTTCTGGTCTACTACAAATCCTTTTGACACAAAATTCCTTCACCTTCCTCTGTCTGTTTCACAGATGCAAGCCAAGATTGGAAAGGCAAAGATGATTTATCAACTTTTTCTTGGTGTGATAAAACTTCATTAATCTGCCTGGTGTTACCAGGAACTTTGTCCTCCTGTCTGCACTGTACCCTCTGGACTGAGGTCTTTAGTCTGCAGTTAGAAGGGTCCTTACTGATTAATAATAATAATAATATTAATAATAATAATAATAATAATAATAATAAGGAACTGCAGAGGGGAATGTGTTGGTTTACCCACCTTTCACCTTGTCCCATTATATCACAAGACAGCCATGGAGTGAAATGAAGGGTCAGTCCTGATAACATTTTGTGCAGCCTGAAGCTAGCTCACTGAAACTGGACAGCCATTTTCAGGAGACTGCACTGTTCAGCTCCAACCTTTTAAAAAGTGCTGCTGAGCATTAGCTGTTTTAGAATGTGCCAGCTGAGATGATAGAAAAATTTCAGGGCAAACAACACACCAGGCAGTGAGGACAAGATATATTCTCCAAAGAGAATGACTTTTCATCTTCATCACCATAACTCATCTATTTTTAATAGACATATAAATGAAATATCATGCAGAGGCCTCTAATTTGCCACAGTCTAAATATTGCTGTTCTTTTTCAGGTACAATTATTAGTAAATTCAATGTGTACTTTAGGCGATGAAAGACTAAAAAATTTAGCTACATGAGTTTTCCATTTGGCTCAACAAGCCCAAGTCATTAGCACAGGAAAATGCATTGCTCCCTATTGTCTCCACTTACACACCTTTTAGGGCTGCGTTTCAACGTCATGTGTACAGCATGACAAAAAGAAGGTCTAAAAAGCCAGAGACTGAAGACATTCTGAAACAATTATCTGCTACAGATATCTCAGAACAAGTCAAATGGAAAGGGAAACATTTTTATTATCAGAAAATCTTTTCCCATTTATGAATGCATTCTCATATCAGGAAATGATTTTCTGAAAGTAAATTTCCTCAGCAGGCTATCAAGCTTTCCCTGATCTCCTTTTCTAAAAGAGAACTGTTTCAGCATAGGGAGGAGATATATTTATTCTTGTTGCACTGTTTTGACAGAGACTGTCTGAGAAAGTGAAGCAGCTGGGGCAATTCTGAATTCTTTATGGAGTCTTATTTTACAAAATTTAAGGTGGAATAGCATATCTACTCATCAAAAGAGGTAAATAAAGTGAAACCTCTGTAAAATATCAAGCATTTAAAAATATTGCTGTTATATCTGAATGCTGGTGTGACATTGCTCATACACAATTCCATTGTAATAGCCAAAAAAATTCATTGTCCCATAGTTAGAACTATCGTACTGCTGCTGGGATTGTTTTTGTTAAACTAACATGACCATTTTGTTAAACTAAGAATGACCATTTGAAAGTGATACTTCATATATCTAAAAATCAGTCAAGAAAATAATTGGCTTGTTTCTGATATCTTTTACCATGCCCAGAAAATTAACTCTTAAAAGACTTGATTTCTTCCTATACTTAGAAGAAGTATCAGCAAAAAAATTGTTTATTGCTACCAAGGTAATATCTGGTTTGGAAACTACTACAATTTCCAGTTTAAAAAAAGACTAGTAAAATGGACACAACAAAAATACAAAATTATAAACAGATACATATGAGTTTTAGATGAATACTGGCCACAAAAATAGCTTGAAATCAAACTGGATAATATTTATTTTACATAACTCTTCTTACCCACTTCCTTTGAACACATGTATGTAATTCTTCTCCCCTTCCCAAGGTTTGAAGTCAATACAGGTTTTCAGTCGATACTGTTCAAACGCCTTGAGGATGAGTGCCTTAGCATTCATTTCTGCAAAGCAGAGTGTTCTTGTCAACACTGAGCCAATAGGTTTGTACTATTATGTGTACACGTCCTAAAGGCGGGTCTTACTCCAGCAATCTTTGATCAAACTAAGCAGGCTTTTTGTTGGGTTAAGACAAGGGGACTCAGCAATGTGCCATTACAAACTGTGTTGTCTGTCAGAATGCCAATTTGCCATTGGTGCTGTAGATTATGTACGTGGCCTGGTAAGCTTCCAGACTTTGAAAAGATCATCAGTGTCCTGTTTTTATTTCTGCTTAGTAAAGTTTCATGTCCCAGACATACAGATTTAAAACCAAATCAATTTTCTGGGCCACAGCAATGGCGGGATAAGAACCATCCAAGAAAGGAGGTGAGAACCAGCACCAACACTAAGGTGATACATGCTGCTTGTGCTTACCCAGGCCAAATCCTGCTGTGGGAAATGCCTGCTCTAGGCTTACAGTAAAAGATGCCACAGAGTATGTATCAACCGGTATTTAACATTTCAATCAACACAACACATGGACATTTTCAAGGGCAAATACCATACCTAGGCTATCATCAAGGACATAGGGAATAACATGGGGCCACCGATAGTTGTCACCAATAATGGAGTTTCGTGCCTGCATGTGAGAAAGAAGGAGGTATGAAGTCCTGAATAAAATGTGGGTCAGGATCAGGGACTACAATAGTGCTAAAGCAAAGCACTTTTCCTACAGGCCCATATGGGTAAGCTCAAAAACTTCAGATCAGAGGTCTAAGGCTTGGGTTTGAAATCCCTTCACTCCCTTCTTTCTTCAATATTCTGCAGCATTTTTTCCATAGAAATTACCTGGGATTTTGATGGCAGTGTGAGGAGAGCTTTGGCTCCTGTGGCAAGCATTAAGATCTAAAGTCCTGACAACTGTACAGACATTAATAATTTTTTGATTCTCCGTAATGCAAGAGTTTGTTCCTGTGCCCTTAGCAAGTGCTGTTCTTGCTTCCACTGATACACTCAGGCCAAAGCAGTTCACCAAAAGTGAGAGTAAAACGTCATTACTGATTTTCAGGTGCTCAAGACAGATTGGGGATTTCTACCAGGTGTTTTTGAGATGTAACTTGTTATGTAAATATATTTACTTTTTTAATTGGTCAGGTAAGGATACTGGGCAGAGGCTTTAAAACATGATATAGATCTAATTTTTTCCATTAGTTCCATTAGTTCTAGTGAATCTACTTAGATGCTGAAGGTTTTGCAGCACTCATCTGTAAATCTAATTGGCTCATTATAAATATTGCACAGATACATGGAGAATCTTTTATATAAACCTGTCTGGGTGATGATCAGTGCTGGTGAATCTCTTAAAAGTTCTAATACAAGGAACAGTAAAGGAAACCAGAAACTAATGATATTGATCTAATGGCTAAACCGAGTTTACCCTGGATAATGTTTCTGCAAATGCACCAGGCTCCTTCATTGTTTATGACATTTTGTAGAAATCCATCCCCAAATATATTCAGTTTACTGTTACATAAACAGCATTTATTGTTAGTTGGAGCAGGATGTATCAATCATTTCCATGCCAGCAATACTTTATGTTGCGTAAGTCAATGACAGGTTTATGGTTTTATATTTTATATTTGAACTCACCCTGTTAAGTTTGATGTCTCCCTCAAAAAGGTTCAGTCCTAAAGCTAAAGAGAAAAGGAGATTAACTTTCAGCTATCGCATTGATCTGTGGCTACCATAATAAAAAACACCAAAAAAAAATTAAAAGATAAACTGAATTTAAAAAAACCTTCATTGATGTCAAAGATGTCTTGATCAATTCCTCCATCTACATCTCGTTCTGAAAATAAAAAGACAAGTGAGGTAGGACATTAGCCCTTGCTGTTATCTTTATGAAGTGTGAAAATTAATGCAATAACAATAACAGTAATTATAAATCTGTGTCTGTCCTAGCGATGTTTATGAGCAGCTGGTTTTGTTGACTGCCTCCCATGCATGCAAATAGATTTCAAAACAGAACTCACCAGTTGTCTCTGGAACAGGCTGGGGAGGGGAAAGAAAAAAAGATATTATTAGAAAGGCACATAATGAAATGCGGCTCACGTTACTCTCACAACAGTATTAGAGATGCGATTTAAGCTCAACTGACAGCACTTAGAGTATGGCTTTGTGTTGGATTGACTGGACCCACTCCCTCTTCATTTGACTGGATATTTGCTTGTGTGTCAGCTTTCTCGTGGGCAAGGACACCTTTCACTAGACCAGGTTGCTCAAAGCCCCATCCAACCTGGCCTTGAACACTGCCAGAGATGGTGCATCCATAGCTTCTCTGGGCAACCTATTCTAGTGGTTCCTGTTCCATTTCTCCCAAAACAGCCCTGTTTCAGCACTTCACTGTTTTGGACTGTTTCAAAATCTGGTAGATTTTAAGACATCCAACTCTAAAAACCCCAGCGTCATTGTGGAAAAGTGACTGAGTTCATTGAAAAAATGTTTCCAGAGCTGGGCAGATGCAAATGCTGAAGGATTTATTTTGATATCACACTTCAGTGAGTTAGCTGGTACTTTGCAGGTTTACACTGATAAATGAAAAATAAGGATGGGGACTTCAGAAAAAAGAATAAACATATAACTGTATATAGATACAGTTTAATAATCCCAAAAATCTTTTCCAGACAAATGATCCATAAAGTTGAAATGTCAATAGACTCCTCTTACATTTTAAAGTTTTATTGCATGTATACCCTATCATTACATTTTGTTATCACTTGATATGCATAAGACAGTACCCATCTATTCAAGTTTTGAAATTACAGTGAAGCTTGCAAAACAAGCTGAAAGTAAATGGGGAAAGTGTGTAACACATTTTGAAGACTTCATTTGCTTTTAAACTCCAACTCTCACACAGATTTCTAGCTAATATGGAATTAAAAATGACAAGTATAGCTTGCAATATTAAAAAATTGAAATGTTATTCTCATTGAAATCAAAGTTATTTTCTTTTCCATTAAAGATTGTTGATGGAAAGAAAGATTCATACCCCTACATGTTGAATCCCCTTATAAACATTAATGGGGAATGTTTGCATGGTTTCAATAATTATGAACTACAATGTACCCATACCTAGTAACCAGAAAGCATAACTGTGCTAAAGAAATGGCTAGCTCATGGAAATGCTCCTCTATCAGCAGCAAAAGTTTACAAACAGAAATTAATATAGCTAAGTCCAGCAGTACTGTCGGTGCATAAACCAGAATGTGAGTCCATGACTGAAGAATATAAAATTCAGCAACCAACTGAAATCCAGGCTGGTCCTCAGCATCTGAAAACTGTCACTGAATGTTTAATGCTGAAGGGATTCCTTCCGTCACTCTTTTCCATTTCGTTCTCAACAAAACTAGGTTTTTAGTCTTGTGAATCTCGACAGCAAAACACTCTGCTTCAAAAGGAGCATCTCTGTGCATAAATATTGCTTGTTTGAGTAGCAATAACTTCAGCCTCATTATCAGCCTGACAACTGAGACCTGTATGATGCATTTCTAGTCTCTTGAAGTTTTGTAAATAAATAACAGATTCACAGTCCATAGTCACATACAGAGGAAGGTTATATTACCTGAGGTGCACCAAAGAGGAATCTAATTCAGTCTAATCGCTGCTACTTTCAAATCTACACACACATAAAGGTCTGAGTATTTGTTACATTAGTCCCCAGCTTTGGCAAACAACATGGTTTATGTGAATTAAATTACAGTGAAGGTTAGTCAAACCATGGCTTGTGAGCACATTTAACTAGCAAATAAACCTAGTGCATCTTGAACAGGTGGGAAACACCTCACTTATTGTAGTCATGTAAAACTGAGGTAAGTAGACTCACCCAGTAATCGGTGGAGAAACAAATTGGTAAGGAATCTGTCCCTAAAATATCTATGGCACCACGACGATGCCCTGGCAGCTCCAAAAGATGATCCATCTCATCTAGCTTGGACATCGATTCAAGGGTGTGATAAATCTCTGATGAAAATTTCCCTGTCTCACCATGAGCTTCAGATGGAGTATTGCCAACCAGTTTGGATGAGACACTAACTTACCAGTGTTTTTTCCAGACTACAGAACTTCAAGTATTGGCATCCAGAAAGAAGCTCTTCCTGGCCATAAGGCACATGCAAATGTTATAATTGGTCTTAGTGATCAGAAGCCACTTTCTCACACAGAAGCTGGTTATTAGGAGTCAGTTTGATGTGTAATAGCTTGTAGATGGTAGTAGCACCCTGCATCACCTACTATAGGCTGTACCAAAGCCTGTAGAGGAACCTAAACAAAGCTAAGACTTGAGTTTCCAGAAGGCAGGGAACAGACGAACAGGTAGTCATGATGGGCAATGGTAATACAAGGGAAGCGTGGTGTTGGCGTTGTGAGGGATACAGGAAGACTATGGCAAAGCTGGGGACATGAGGTTGAGCTCTTGACTTAGGGAGACGTATGAGTGTGTGTTGTATTGTGTACTACTACTGGTATCTACAATAAATTATCACAGAGCAAAATGCTGTATTTCACTACAAAAGACAGGAAATACAAAATCTCAGCTGTTACTTTCAGGCATTTAATAGTTCAGCCAAATTGGAGGAACAGAGAACAGTCATATTCAAGTATATCCAGTGGCTAAAAAGGCACCAACTTCATTATCAAATACATTGCATTATAGCAAAAAAATAAGAAAATCCTATTTCCATTCAAATATGAAGAAGCAAAATAAATTTGAATATTAATCTTGGTTCTAACTCCAGACTTACTATTCTGGTAGTGGTACTTTGAATATTAGTGGATATTTTGCCTAAATGGGGAATGCAAGATAAGCTCTTCCCATGTACAGTGTATTAAAAATAGCAGCACTAGGACCCCAAGGAAGCAGAAATCTTTCTCTTCCATGCAGATGACAACAGAATTCTTACTCTGCAAAAGCAACATACCTTAGTCTTTTCCTCTCAAACTCAACTTAAGCTGCATTGCTTTCTCTATGATATAGAGAATATATATTCTTTGTTTTCTTACCTGACTCCAGACCACCTGAAGAAGAAGCCAAGTTAGGAGCACAGGAACAAAAAAACAGCCCATCTTGTTCTCCAGTCAGAAGTTGCATGGACAGAATTTCAAACCAACTTGGTATGTAAGACAGTAAATACCATAAATCAAAACCTTTGTCCTTTCATCAACGATTAACTTACCTTCCTTTTCTTGTCCAGTAAGCAAAATTTGTCATTACTATATCACAATAACTAACCTTATTTTAACTATTGTTAAGCACTGCTCTGAGAAAAAGTATTGGACACAAATTGAAATACAGGATGAAGCAGACACAGGAAAATGGCAGTACAGGGAAATGGGCACACTGAAATACAGAAAATGCCATTGAAATATAAGAAAACATTTTTATTATTCTAAGGCGGTTTAAGTACTGGAACAAGTTGCCCAAATTGTTGTGGAGTCTCCATCCTTGGAGACAGTTAAAACCCAACCAGACACAGCCCTGAGCAAACTGCTGCAGGTGGTCCTGCTGCAAAGCAGGGGGATTGGACAAGGCAGTCTCCAGCGATGCCTTCTCACCACAACTATCATGTGATAGAGTGAATAAAGCTGGCACTATAACCTTTTGAACAACAGAAATGTAGCAAGACTCGTGGCAGGTAAAACATTAACTTATTAATAAATATGTAAGTTTTGACAGAAAGTTAAAATGAAAAATTCTTGCACATTAAGAAAAAAATAAATCTGTCAGCAACATAATTTCAGTATCTTGCTTTAGGAAAGGCGATGCTGCTTCCATTATTGATATATATATGAAACACCATATTTGTCACTGACTGAAATAATTCTTCTGGGTTATTTAAAACTTCCATACAAATTCATGTTTAAAATGTCAGTACCATTGTACTATCACCACTCTCTGTGACTCTTTGGAGTTTTAGGTTCTTCCAACTTCAGTCATCTTTTCTACTTAATAGATTCCAGAGAGTGTTGAAATTGCCACAGCTTCTCATGCTTAAATGGAAGCTACTTGTGGTAATTGCATGATCAGCCTGTGCTAACCTTTTACTTTCACAAACTACCTACCTGGTTAGACCATCACAGAAACTAAAAATGGCACCTAGATTTTGTATTGCAAATGCTGAATCCTAAACGATTATATAAAAAAAATAATAACATGTGACAGAATCATAGAATGGTTTGGGTTGGAAGGGACCGCAAAGATCATCCAGTTCCAACCCGTCTACAATGGGCAGGGTTACCTTCCATTCTCATACTATTTCAAGTATCAGAGCTAACAAGAAAGAACAGGTAATGAGGACACCTGAGCAATTTCTAGCTACTCAGATCCATGCTTATTTCATTGCTGATCCACTGAGAAGCAGCAGTCGTAGACAGAAACAGAACAGAGTTGGAAAGGACCTTAAGATCATCTAGTTCCAACCCCCCTGCTGTGGGCAGGGACACCTCCCACTAAAACATGCCACCCAAGGCTCTGTCCAACCTGGCCTTGAACACTGCTAGGGATGGAGCATTCACAACTTCCTTGGTGTCCTGGGTTCAGCAGTAGCACTCATTTTTCTCCTTGGTAGCTGGTGCAGTGCTGTGTTTTGACTTTCGGCCTGGGAACAGAGCTGATAAGACCAACGTTTTGGTCTTGACAAGGACTTTGTGAGCCTCATGCTCTGCCAGGGAGGAGGAGAACCCAGGAGGAAGCAGAGACAGGACACCTGACCCAAACTGACCAAAGAGGTATTCCATACCACAGCACGTCATGCCCAGGATGTAACTGGGAGTTACGCAAAAGGGCCGGTAGACTGGGAGGGTTGGAAGAGATATCGGTCGGTGCTTGGTCGGGCTGGGGGGGTGAGCTATCAGGCAGCTGGTGGTGAGGTGTTGTATTCTCTTCCCTTGTTATTTCCTTTATTATTATTGGTGGTAGCAGCAGTGGTTTGTGTTATACCTTAGTTACTAAACTGTTCTTATCTCAACCCATGGGAGTTGCATTCTTTTTGATTCTCCTCTCCGTCCCTCCAGGAGTAGGGGGAGGTCAAGAAGGGGGGGGAGTGGATGAACGAGCTGCCTGACTGGTTTTAAACCACAACACTTGGGGAAGCCATTCCAGTGCCTCATCACCCTCACAGTAAAGAATTTCTTCCTTATATTCAATCTAAACCTCCCCTGTTTAAGATTGAACCCATTACCCCTTGTCCTATCACTACAGTCCCTAATGAAGGGTCCCCCCCAGCATCCCTATAGGCCCCCTTCAGATACCGGAAGGCTGCTATGAGGTCTCCACGCAGACTTCCCTTCTCCAGGCTGAACAGCCCCAACTTGCTCAGCCGATCTTCATACAGGAGGTGCTCCAGTCCCCTGATCATCCTCGTGGCCCTCCTCTGGACTTGTTCCAACAGTTCCATGTCCTTTTCATGTTGAGGACACCAGAACTGCACACAATACTCCAAGTGAGGTCTCACGAGAGTAGAGTAGAGGGGCAGGATCACCTCCTTCGACCTGCTGGTCATACTCCTTTTGATGCAGCCCAGGATAATGGTTGGCTTTCTGGGCTGCGAGCACACACTGCAGATGGCTCACGTTAAGTTTCTCATTGACCAGCACCCCCAAGTCCTTCTCCACAGGGCTGCTCTGAATCTCTTCTCTGCCTAACTTGTAGCTGTGCCTGGGATTGCTCCAACCCAGGTGTAGGACCTTGCACTTGGCATGGCTAAACTTCATGAGGTTGGCATCAGCCCACCTCACAAGCGTGTCAAGGTCCCTCTGGATGGCATTCCTTCCCTCCAGCGTATCAACCAAACCAAACAGCTTGGTGTCATTGGCAAACTTGCTGAGGGTGCATTCAATCCCACTGTCCATGTCACCAACAAAGATGTTAACAAGACCAGTCCCAACACTGATCCCTGAGGGACAGCACTCATTACTGGTCTCCAGCCGGACATTCAGCCATTGACCACAACTCCCTGAGTGTGGCCATCCAGCCAGTTCTTTATCCACTGAGTGGTCCATCCATCAAATTGATGTCTCTCCAATTTAGAGACAAGGATGTTGTGTGGGACAGTGTCAAATGCTTTGCACAAATCCAGGTAGATGACATCAACTGCTCTACCCCTATCCATCAGTTCTGTAGCCCCATCATAAAAGGTCACCAAATTGGTCAGGCAGGATTTGCCCTTAGTGAAGCCATGCTGGCTGTCACCAAGCACCTTGTTGTTTTTCTTGTGCTTTAGCATGCCTTCCAGGAGAATCTGCTCCAAGATTTTGCCAGGCACAGAGGTAAGACTGACTGGTCTGTAATTCCCTGGGTCATCCATGTTCCCCTTCTTGAAAATGGGGGTTATATTTCCCTTTTTCCAGTCATTGGGAACTTCACTAGACTGCCATGATTTTTCAAATATGATGGACATATTGCTGTTCTTATAATGCTATTTTTTTCTACAAAAGTAAGCTTTATGCATTGTAAAGTACAGTCCCTCAGAGTTCTGATACTTCAAGGAGTCATCTAGTATAATTAAACAAGATGCAACAGAAAAATAAACAATATATGAACAACAGGATATCAGGACTTTTTTAAGACAGAAGTTCTTGTCATAAAGTTTGGTGTCACTCATGAAGTAGCTAAATGCTTTTTTAATATACACTCAGGAGAAATTAATAAATGGATGGGCAGTCTTAAAGAAGTTTTTTCTATCCAAGCACAGATCTTTTCTATAGACCTTGCCTACTTTTGTCAGAATGTTCTCTACAATGGCAAACATCTTGCTTTATCACTGACTGTCTATGTTCAGGAAATATACCTACCTCTTATTTTCCTCAGGGTTTTGCTGTGCAATTGCTTGCATTTTTCTTTGAAGATAGAAAGCACTACAGTCATATCGTACTTCTAAGACCAAGACCTACAGTAATAAATAACTGACCATTCCTGGATATTAATTAATAAAGGATAGAACAATCTATTTGAATAGACGGTGTACATTTTCAGATGTACAAAAAGAATAGCAGTCTTGGATTATTTCTTTATTTTACAGTTACCAGGACATACAGCAGCCGAAGTATTGCATGTCCTTCCTTGACATGGTTAGGGAACTGTGAAGTCAAGGACGTCTTTTCCATTTTGATCTGCCGATAGAGTCCACCAGTGTCCTAACTAAAAGCTCTGTGTTTGAGGAAAAGTTAAAACATTAAATACAAAGCAGAAGGAGCAGCAATCTTTAACTGGTTGATTGTTTTTTCCTTTCTTGCAATTCTTTGTCTTGAACATATTTCACAACTTTTATGGGTGCTAGGCTATCTAATGAGCCCTGAGTAACTAACTGTAAGAGACACCTGCAAAATCTGAGCTTTTGCCAGTCAATTACATTTCTTTCCCCATATACCCACATGCTCCCACGCTGATAGCAGAAGCTATGAAAAGACATCAGAACTTGATGTGGAGCTTGCCACAGATCCAATGACCACCTTCATCTCCTGCTGAGTTCACTTTGCTACTACTACCAGCCACATGGGGAGCACCACAGAGCAGATTGCATGTTCCCTTGGACAGGCATTCTCTTTACCTCTGCCTGGCAGCAATGTTGCTGGTGGTCACTACTTCAGCACAGGTAATAATAATAATACTGTGGTGCTTATTCCCCTGCAGAAGGAACATTTATCAGGCTTTCTCCAATGCAGAGGGAAAAAACGCTTGCTTTAGTCTTCTTTGCAAAGCTATGTCTGCAGAAGATTGCTGGGAAGGGAAGAGACAGTAATAGGGGCAGAGAGATTGTAAAAAATCAGTAAAGTACACGATGGCAAAAATGCTCTTTTTAAAAGCCAAAGGAACTTAATTTCAGAGTACAATATCAGCTAACTACAGAGAGACATAAAAACAGTTAAAAATAGCTCAACACAGCCAGTGATTTTCTAGCATTTTGAGTAGGTATTTGAATATCTGACACTATTCATATTTGAATAGTGTCATTGATCTCTGTTTCAGCACAGATGCTTTGATAATTTTGCTATCAGTGTACTCCTCAGCAAACAATGGTGATTCATGGATGCTTGTTGACATTTGGGTGGAACCTGACTGATGGTAAGTTTCAGTGTCAATTTCAAGTGGTATGAATTCATTAAATTATCTTGAAAAGTGTTGGCTTGTGGAGCATTACATACCCCATTTAGCAGTGCTTAGAGACCAAATGTTAAAGAGTAGGAGGATATTCAAATGGTCTATTATTCTCAGACAGTGGACTGTTGCTTGCCCTGCCTCAAGCTTCCTGCATTATCTTGCACAAATTAGTTTCACTTTTTCTGCAGTTAAATTCCCCAAATGGGGATAATGCTGCAATAGTAACTCCCTGGCTGATGAGGCAAAAGCACCTATGAAGATAAGGGTTGTCAAATAAATGTGCAAGATAAAAAATCCCCAGTCAAAACCAAAATGTTTCAAGTTGAACACAATACTTAGGTATTTCAAGAAACGAAACTCAAATGTTTACATGCCTAGCGGGTGTCATATGGAATATAATGCAAGAATATAAAAAAAAATCACAGAAATATCACATACAAGTATTCTATCTTCTTGCAGAGGAACAAAAGCTTTGATTAAGAGTTGTCACAAAAATGAAGCAAACCTTCAGTTTCCTTGCACTGCTTAACTGCAGATAAATCAAAAAGCAAGGTTAAAAAGCAAACCACAGAAGCTTGGGTGTATAACGCTGCATCCCTTCCTGCCCACTGCCACTTCAGACATGTACTTGAACCATTATGTTATAGTTTGTGTGAGAAAACCATCTTTCATACATTAAGTAATTACTCATAGAAGATTTCACCTCTCCCCCTTTCACAGGAGTCTGAATCATGTTTGACATGTTTTTACACAAACTTATTTCATGGTAAATATGAATCAGATTAAAGTGTGAAACAAACTGATTTGCAGCTGCTAAAGTAACTGCAGCTGGCCGCTGGGTATCATGCCCCTATAGAAGTATACCCCAGGGGTACTTAGTTATCTCCCAGACTATGGAGCATGAGCCTTAGCTGGGAGCATTTCTGTTTTCATTCCAGAGGCCTCTATCAACCCCAAACTACTGCATGTGCTGCCAGAGAACAACCTAGAAGACCTAAGTAATATGAAGGGGTAATGAAGTGTGGTTGTACTTGGCACCTGCTGGACCCCACCACTGCAACAGATGGAATCAGCGAGGTCGTTGACACGTCAGTTTCAGAAAACGTGAAGTCAAAACCCCAGCAATGACCCCATCGCTCACTATCAGACTGCGGCAGTCCTCAGGTGCCCCCCTGTGACTCCTGTGCGTACTTACAACGCTTCAGGTTAAAGACGATCTCTGTAAAGAACGCGTTTGGGGAAAGAAACTTCCTGCAAGTGAACGGGGTTTGCATGCACATGCTACATTTCACCTTCACTCGTGAATTGGGGGCCACTCGGCTGGCCCCAGAGTGGAGTGCTGGGGCAACACGGCTTATTTGCCACAGATGATAAAGCACACAAGCAAATCTGTAAGTTTGAGGTTTTACAGTAAGTTAGAAATATTCTTTCTGTAGATTGGAATGACCTCAGTCAGTCTCTTACCCCTTAACACATATAAATGATTTATTTCATTTTATGAAACATCTGCATAGAAATCACATATCTAAAAGTCTCTCGGAGTACTACTACTTAGTGAATCAGCATCCTTAAATGCTATTCTTATTTAGATACAACCCAAAAATACTCAGTGCCCTCTTGTGGTTTGAATTATGAAAGAAGAAAAATCCATAAAAGAAATTACTGAAGTTTGAACAGTCTCACAACGGAGCTGATACATCTCATAAACCTTCTATGACACTAGTGCCACAGCAGTTACCCTAGAGAAAAAATCCATCTTCCTACTGTCTTCTGCCCATACCTGCAATATCAGAGAACCTAATGCAAGGCTTTCCAAAAAACAAGTGCCTATTACCATAAAGAACTGGTCTGCATGAGATGTTTCTGATTTTAAGCATCATCCTAATCTCTCCAAACCAAAACCAGACCGTCCCCTGAAAGAAAACAACAAAGCAAATGGTTGTTTCAAACTGCAAACACATTCTGAGAAATATAAACTCCTCCAGTCATATCAGTAAACGTGGCAGGTGAACTCTAGAAATTATTAAAGCTAAATTTCTTAGTTACTGCATTTACCCAAGGCCTACATCAGTCCCAAAATATAGAGGGCACAGCCAGAGGTGCGTATAAACAATACAGAACGTGTAAGGCTGGTAACAGCTGGAAAACGAAGAGGGGAAAAGTGGTCCTTCCCAGAGCAGACCTACAGTTTGAGAAGAGTATGCACAGTACAGACCTACTTTACTCATGAGGAGGTGGGGGAAAACAGTCTATGCTTTACCCTATCAAGACTCTGGTAATTTACCAGGAAGTGACAATTTTAACATTATTGAAAAGCCTTCTTAGAGGCCCTGAATTTTGTCTCCTATGTGTTTTCAAACGTACCCACAACAGGACACAAAAGAAACCTGATACCCAGAGCAAATTTACATGGACACTGTACAGAGAACAAACTATGTACTGTTTGTGCCCTTTCAATGCTAGTTTCTGCAATTCTAGAAAAACCCTGAAGATGCTTTTGTCAGATATTCTCATAGCTCTGCTTGCCAGCAATAACCTGGCTGCCAGGTTCTGCAGTTATTACACAAATGGCACAGTGTTTACAAGACATAGCTAAGCAGACATCTTAAGAGCATCCATGAATTAGTGTGTCTGTTTCAGCACAAAACAAGAGTATAAAAAATACATTAGCTCATACACTATCCCCACTCTTTTGCAGCAGCAACCTCACAGGCACCCATGCATTCAAATCTCACTGGACTCAAAAGCCACATCTGAAAAGCGGGACTCAGGAATGCTTCCCAAATACAACCTTCTACCCCTGACTACCTGTAACAAGATGGCCTGTGCGCGCAAAGTCCCACTCTCTCCCTGGGTATGAAACCATGGTTTAGGACCGGAGCAGGACAAAGGGGAGTTCTCTAGAGCTCACATAGCCTATAACCAACATACTGCCAATGAGAATTACAGACACTGCCTTCTCTCCAAGAGAATGAATTGCTATAGTAAAAGAAAATCAAATGGAATTTCTAACAAAGGGCTTAATGACCAGATTTAGCAGATAGTGATTTATTTAATGCTCAGAAAACCAGGTTCTAAGGGGAAAGAACAATAAACTAATAAAATGTAAATTTGCTTTTTTTTATATTCCTATCATTCAAAATAAGAGAGTTAATTCCATAACCATATTGTCATCTGTATGACCTTAGGATGTAAAAGCACAAGAAATAACCAGATTTTTTCAGCGCCAAAATATGGTCCAATAATGCAAATGGCCAAACTTACTGACAATTCTTTCCTCAGAAAATCATTTCCTCAGTAGATCCAACTTTAAATAACAAGGCTTGCTATTGGCCCCAAGTGTTACATACTTCTTTCTCTCTCTTTTTAGATGTTATTTCTCTATTCACATTACATGGGACAGCAACACATGAACATGGAAGGGAGAAAACAAGCACAAGTAAGTTTACGTCAACCAATCATCTTTCCTGCTTCATGGAAAGATCTTAAGACGTGACACAAGGTAACTTGTCAGCTCAGTAATGGATTATGAGCCACAACTCATTAATTTCAGCAGCATGCATGCCACTCCAGTCATCAAAGTGTGAAGGCATAAAACTGACCACGTAGTTAGGCTTAGAAAGCATCTGAAAAGGAAGTAGCAGCAACCAAAGGACTGATCAGCTTTATTATGAAAAAAAAAAAAAGAAAGAAAATAAAATACTTTAATAAGAGAAAAAACAGAAGGTACAATTCAAACATAATATTCCATATTGAAACCATACACAATGCAACATGAACATAAAAACATCGTTAAACAGCAACCTTCCAGTAAAGATCGCAAGTTTTGAGTACAAGCATCACCCATCACAGATACACAGCTTTTTGTGCATGTCTGAGTTTCAGTGAGAAAGATTATGACCAGCAGCAGCATTATTTAAATAGATATTTTCATTAAACGTTTACCTAGCGAGCGTTATTGGATGCAATCTCTTCATATTAAAAGTATAAAATCTTATGCAAGGCATTGCCTGCCAATACAGATTTTAACATAAGCAAATAAAGAGGATAAATATTTTGCAAGGTTTTTTTTATATTGCGTTAATACACATTTGTTGCTTTAAAATGTGTATTCAAGTCTTTCAACATTTAAACATGACTAAAATGTTCAGCAGCTACGCATCAAGTGACAACTAATTATTGCTATAAGAAAAATTTGTTTCCCAGAGTTTTAGAAGAGATGTAATTCCATTTGCAATCCTCAAGATACGTTCAAGTAATAGAAATAACTAGTTCCAGTGTCCATGAGGCATTCTGAATCTGTATTGGCTGTAGGCATTTTTTGCCAGATCATATAAATATTTTATTGAATCTAAAAAATTTAAACTTACATATAACTATTAAATTCCTTAGGAAATGTATGCAGTAATAAAATCACCACGGTATGCATTTTTACTTTAAAAAGCTAAAACTTTAGCATCAGGCTACCTTGAAACTCCTTTCTGTCTAAGGGCACTATTTTATAGTTGGCTTTATAGAACAAAAAGAGAAAGTAAAAATCTAAACAACCTTTTCAGCTGGATCAGTGAACCACTCCAAATCAGTATGTGGTCACACAAGCACTAGAGCTGACAGACGAGTGAAAATGCGCAGACAAGAATATGGGGTTAAACCATGACAAAGGGCAAACAGGTGAGCTGGAGTATAAGATTAAAGCATGGGCTGCTGTGAAAAACTGTATTAAGCCAGTAACAGAATGCAAGACAAGTTAAGTTGTTATTAAAAGGATATAACCTTCAGATGTTTCTGAAATAGCCAACTTCCTCTGTGTTTTAGCTAGCTATGGCTCCAGTAATGTTTTACACTCTTAAGAAATGTAAGAGAAATGTCGTTACAGTGTATAGTGGTTTAGTTCCAACACTCAACCTACTAGAACTAAGAATCAGTTCTGAAACCCGTTACATTGCCGAATGAGGCATTTCAACCTCTGGATTATGAAATATCCCAGTATTTAAAGAGTAACCAAAATCTATTTGGAGAGCAAATGGGAGCCAGGGCACAAGAAGCAGATTTTACTTCAGCTGAACAACTTATATTATTATACATAAATCACCAACTAGACTAGGAAAATCACTGGGGATGTTTTCCACCATATATACAATACCCACTAAGAAAAATAGTTTGACAATGGGTGATGGTGACATAGGATGAAATGTTGGTCCTAAATGGTAAACATTCAGAACAGTCTCTTTAAACATCAAAAATATAAGCTGTGCACCTTTCTTTCTCCTTCTCCCCATTAGTATTAAATAAAAAAAAAAAAAAAACTTTGAAGTTCTTTTACAAATACATTTTCTATTTAAATTAAAAATTGCATTATTGCTCAGTTTTCTCTGAATGTAATGATGGTTTTGCTGGGAATGTGAAAATCTAGAATAGGAACTCTTAGAAATGCTGGTAACTACTTTAGAGCAAGCTTTTCTTCTCAACTCTGTTTTTCAAGCCTTTGGTTTGTAGGAGATACCCAAATTTTAAACAGTCTATCAAAACAAGTTCATTTCAGTGTTGGTAGGTCTGATGCCAATTAGTTCTCGAGTTACACAGCCTTCCATGAAAGACTGAACTGATCAAAACTTGAATTTCAAATGCAACAACAGAAGTTCTTGAAAAGCTCCAGCAAAATGAAAAACTAGCTGGTCGCAGTCATATATGAAAATGCATGCCTTTTGCATGTCACCTTAAATTGCTTAGAAAGTATATCATCTTTCTTAGTAGTTGGGAGCATAGGGAAAACTCCTCACCCACCACTTTAGTAAGCAAGCATTCTATTTCAGTTATGCTCCAGAAAAAGGAAAAAATAGATGTAATTACTCCTAGGCGATAGCATTATTCTTTCTCAATGAAAGGTGAAAACAAAAAAAAATAAAACCAAAACCAACCCTGCTCTGCATTGTTGATCCACAGAAAACAAAAAAAAAAAAAACTTTGTCATTGGGCAAGAACAGAAAAAAAAATTATAATCTCATAGATATCTTAGCAGATGACTGCTGAACTTAAACTCAACAGTGCAAGAGAGCATCTTGGTGTATCTTTCTAAAGATACTTTCAAAGTTGGTTTTGGTGAATTAAAATATCTTACATTAATAAAAGGAACTGTGTAATTAACAGTAATAAACATTAGAGAAAAAGACAACCATGTGGAGTTCTAAAAAGGTCCCCAAAACTCCACAGGGGCACAGCTCAGTACAGGTGTCAAATCTGAGTTCTGGTTAAATCATTTACAAAAAGTCCTTATGAACACTGGGAAGAAGTTAAGCCTGAAAACTGGTTACTGAATACCATTTTTATTAATATACACTTCAGGTCACCAATAGAAATAATGTGATTTTTCTCTCAGATAATCAGTGAGATGAAGGGGAGCTATACTTTAAAAGTTCACATGACAGGATTCTTGAACTGCATTTTGGTATTGGGCTTCTTCATCAAGCTGAAGATTCTAAACAAAATGAAAACATCATCAAAATGGACAAATACTCAAGAAGTACCATAGTCCTTAATCATTCATTTCCCACATTTTTCCATAGCAATTGGCACTTAGATGAAGACTCTTCATCTTTACATGTACTAGATGATTGTTTATGTTGCACAGTATCTTTTATTTAACCAAGTACCAAGAGATACATGAGACAAGAGAAGAATCAGATGAGGGGGACAAGGCTCATTAAGCAGAAGGGCCCATCTTCTCCCCCTGGCTGAATTACATTACAGAACAGCCAGCTCAGAAAAGCTGACTGACTGTGTCACACTGTTCTTGGAACAGGGCTTCCAACCAGCCATAACATCCTCCATTAATAAAAACAAAATGTGATCCCTAGACAACAGTAATCATTGATCATTGAGAATATGCTGCTTACAATGAGAAAGCAAACATGCATCATAAAAGATGGGTGGTTAACCCTGCTACTTTTGAAGAGCTGTCTTCCAAGTTGTTAATAAGCCAGCGTAATACATATTTTAATGCAGTTCTGGCAGCTGCCCCACATCAGAATTGCCACCACCAGTTTTACATCTTCAAACATGCAAGATGCTCTCATGTTGAAGAGCCTAATCCACTGCATCAGTCTCCTAACTCTTCATGCCTTTGTCACAGATCACTCTACACAAAGAACAATATGCATCATCTTGCCCACCTCTAGCCAGTGAAGCTGCCTACTCCTCAAGTACTATGCTTGTCTCATACAAAGCTCAAGCAGTGTACCCCAAAGCCTGACAGATTGTAGAAAATACAACACAAATTCTCCAGCTCTCTGATCCCACACACAGTACTCAACGGGTTCACTTGACTTACGATCCATCCACTGACTACACCTATGTAGTTCTGCACCTAGTTCAATGTCATTTAAGCAGTGAGCCTGAAAGAAGGCAACCTGAACAATAATGACATCTCTCTTTTTCACATTGCAGCCCCTGTCACAACATATTGGAAGAGAGGCTGTAGCAGCAGTATCAGCTAGTCAAGCTGCACTTTGAGTCCTGAGCATTATGATTTAACCATTTCTGCCATAAAAAGTAAAAAATGTCAATAGAACAGAGCAGTACCTATTTCATTTTCCCCAGAAGCAACAGTAATTAACTTTTCTGGAGGAAGAAAAAGTTCAGATTGAGAACATTAAGGTATTGTTAACTTCAGCCCTCAGTTTGGAGCAGACTTCAGCTACTGACAGACATCTATTCTCAGTGGCAGTTCATGTTGATAGCGGAATGTTTAAGAGCAGACAGGGCTACTTCTGAGTTTTATACAAAGCAGGAACATAGCATGTCCAGAGCACAAACAAGTTTGGTACAAATTTTTTATTGGCATTTTGTTTATAGAAAATGTTACCATTTATTCCCCCCTACACATCAAAGAAGAAAAAACTTACCACAAATTCTCCGTAGTCAAACCGGTGTCTTAGATTTAGATGGCTAACGAGATTTCTAGTCACCTGGTTAGTATCTGCCCAAGGAAGAGATACACAAATAGGACAGATCTGAATTTGGAGGGGAATGGGAAAGAGAAAGAATGAAAAAAAAAAAATTATTGGTAATACAGAACACATTGAAGACATGGTCTACAGGAATGACTAGGAATACAGGATACAGAAATACAGGAAAATAACTAGGAATACAGGAAAAGTCTTACTCATCCACTACCAAAAATTTTCACATTTAAAAAAAAAAAAAAAAAATATCACAGTTTTAAGTATCCTTTTCCTCAGTTGCATAACATTCAAAAATTACATTTCAACTCGTCAAATCTCATATTTCTCTTAGGAGTGTAACATTGTCATGTCTATCTGGCACTCCTAGTTAATTTCTGTTAGTTAAAATTTAGAACACAAAGTGATTACTGCATCCTACTCATTGTTTGGGAGAATTTTCATACAATTGAGATGATCAAGTCAAAAGAAAAAATAACACACCCTATGCAGATTAAAAGAACAGAAAACCAAACAGATTTTTCCTCTTCAGCTCCCTTGATTGATTACTTTAGATTACTTTTCACGTAAGTGCAGGTTTCACATAAAACAAGTTATGTTATGAATGGGAATCTACAGAAACAGATCTGAACTACTAAATGAAGAATGTCAGGCTCAAAAACTGAGTTTATTTCACATCTAGATAAATGAGACAGCTAAGTCAGAAATGCCTTAAACCAACAAGAATCTGGACAAGAAACATTTTCACATGAAAGTCACCCATCAAGTTAAATGCACTGCATTAAGTATATTGCCTTTCTCAGACCACAGTGATCTTTACAGATATCGAGTAGTTACTATACATTTAAAATTATCCACATAATTATAATGAAAGTAGCTTAAGAATCATATATAAGCAACAATACTTACTACAGGAACTATCTGATAAAGATGTCTATTATTACAGTGATCCAGCAAGCGCTGTCTGGTAAAATTGGCTTCCTGACACAGGGGGCATTTGAAGGTTGGGTGTCCACTGTAAACAGAAATACACAGTATTAAACAGAAAAGAGAGTTTTAGAAGCAGTGTTACAGAAAATGTAAATTGTCTGTTACCTTGTTATTTTCCCTTTTTTTGAAAAAAAAAAACTTCAAAAAAAAGCCCACCCGCATTGACACAGTAGCAGATCTAATGGCGTTCCAGTGCTACTTCCAAATTGTTATTTTAAAGCACATTTATTATTTGTGCACCTAAATGCACTCTTCTGAAACTTGGATTTCATAAAACTCCTTTGTAAAGATTTCAGCTGCATCCTGATCTTACTGGTAACATCTTTTAGTGCAAATCATCCAGGAAAGTACTAAAAAAAACCCCAAATTCTAATGTATAGATGCAAACTATACAGAAACTACACATATTTTTAAATACAACTTGTTGTATGTGCTTGTGGGGTTTTTTTTACATTAGTAGAAGCTTGCAATAGGACTATCTGGATCTATTTTAATATTAACTATAGAAGAATAAGCAGCCTACCTTGTTTCTCCTTGAAGCACTTGATTATTAGCCATCTCACCATTATCAGATATTGCATCACTCCTGCTACTTTAAATGAAGAAAAAAAAGAAAGAAAAAAAATTGATATTATTTTACTCCACTACAGAGATTTTTTGAAGTTTAAGAGTAACACGGGGGAAGCATTGAGTCACATGAATTTCAAGGCAAAATATACAATGGCACACAAGTTAACTCTCGCAACTTTTCCTTTGGATCAGTGTAAATCTCAGTATGCGGCTACCGTAGTGACCCTTGCTGGAATACTACACAACTTCATAGCAAAAGAGTATATGATACAACAACCATCTAGCCAACAAGAATGGTAATGGAGATTACAGCCAAGTAGCACAAAAAGCATTATGAACGATGTGAATGCAAGACAGGAAGCACTTTTCTAAGTTTTTTGACTTAAGACTATGCAAACAAGCACTTAACTGTCATGGGATTACACAAATAATTTACAACTTTCAACTACAGCAAAATCAAACTTTTTACACTGAGCACAAATAAACTATTTCCTAAAGTAAGAGTGACAGACTGAAATATTTAGAAAGTAATTTTGACCACATATGCACCTCTAGCTAAGCCAGAAGAAACTGCACAGACACACTGATCATTCCAAGAACATGAACATTCGCAGTCACAAATCTGGGCACAGTACATTTTGTTACACTTCTGTAATATTATAAGCACAGGTATGCTACAGTGGCATAGTCAACAGCTTAAACTTCCACTTTTTATATATATATATATATATATATATATATATATATATATAAAACTTCCACTTTCAACATATTGACAGATTGAAAACCAAACATAGAGAAGTTCAGACTGCTAAAAATAGAAAACAGATATCAAAAGAAAATAAATAAAGGACAGGCTATATAGAATAAAGCCCTATGAAACTACTATGTAAAAAAAGGTTTTCAAAAATAAGCAAATACCCCCAATCAAAACAAATACATCAGTGAGAAGGTATGAAAAAGAAAGTTCTTTAGCTTTACTGCCTAAAATTGTGCCATTTGTATTTTATGGTATGTACTATACTGGAGTTCTTTGTATGTTCATAACAGATCAGTTCAAAATAAATTCAATCAGAAAGCAAAAGCTTGCACAGTAAAGTTCTGACACAGGAGACCCACTAAAACAGACTTAGGAAAGAGGAGGAGGGATAAAAAGAGAAGGGGCTAACTACTGAAAGTATGTTACAAAGTAAGCTGCTCAAATGCTGCCAAGGCAAGGAAAGCGAGCTACAAATATTACACATTTTTTAGGAGAGTCCCTGGAAAACATCCCAAACCACCATGCAGAAAGGTTTTCTTCTGTGTGCTAAGAGTAAAGAAAAAGACCTGGAAAAACTGTCATTTTTTTTTGATGCACAAAAATAGGGATAATAATTATTGCAAAAAAAGACATACCCTGGAAAAAAATACTCTGGTGGGAGGGGATGGAGCAGGGAAAGAAGATGCATTGCTATAGATAAAACACCCCGATTACCTGTTCCCTGTAGAATCTTGAGAAATCTGTAAGTTTGGAATAATAGAAGAAACACCATATTCATCCTGATACTTCTTACACGTTTTATAATGCTGTCTCATCCATGAAAATCTAACCTGTAAATGAAATTCCAAATTATTGAGATTACTGGATAACATGCCCACTTCCCAACCCCCCAAAAGCCAGGCATCTGAGAGCTCTCAGGGGTGAAAGATGCAAATAAAACTCCATCTAACTGAAACAAAGTCACAGGAACTACAACTTCCACGATCCAGGATCAATAACTGATGAGCTATGACAGAGAGGGGCCATGAGGATGGGATAAGCATCACTGCTCCTTCAGTCTTCTCTGTCCTGCTGTTACCTTGTGCAGAGGAGAAGCTTTTTTGCATTAGGTGTGTTCCAAGAATACAAAATGTTTCTCTTTGAGAAGGGATAAAAAATAAAAAATACAATATGTGAATGAGCACCAACTTAAGGCTGTATATCTACCTTAAATGCAAGGCAAGATAATGAGTTGCTCAGATTTGTCAGAAGACAGATGTGCTGGACATGCCTTAAATCAGAATTTCAGGTCCAACAGCACTGTCAGAAAGTGTTCACGGGTTTAGAGGTTGAATAAGATCACATCTAAGATCACATTCTGTGCCTAAATTCCACTAAGTTCTTCTGGGGATCAGTTTGGTTCTTCCTTCCACCTCAGCAACTTGCTATAATTTCTTTCTCCCAGCTTTTCATCCTAATGAATCATGTGGAACAAAGGAAGCAGCTCAGCTTTCCACTAGTACTAATCTTCACATTGGCAGAAGTAAGATCCAAGTGAAATGAAACAAACATGAAGACAACCTGGATGTCATGCAATTTCATGTAAGCAAAATGTGTGTCTGAAATCCTGCAACTATTTATACCGGAAGAGAGATTACTCTTGACTTCAGTGGGGGTCACAATTTCACCCAATGGTCTGAAAATAATGACCCCTTTACAAAGAGAATGACGGGATGTAAACAGATTGATGGGGCAAAGGAAAATGTTGTATGATTTTATGTACACCAAGAGTAATCAACTTATCTGTTTTTGGTTTAAATTCAATTTTACAGTAGTTATAGGCACTTTTATTTCCACAGCAAAAGTTTCTGAGGTTTTCCATATATCTGCAATTATCTTGTCAAACTTTTCTTTCACCAGTTTTATGGCTATATCCAGTTTTCACATTGCTCTGCAGAAAAACTGGCACTCCATTTAAAAAGTCCTTATAGACAATATTAAGATCCTCTTTCTGTTTACACCTGTTAGGCATACCTAGCAGGCACTGCATGTCTAATATATGCACAAGCCATAAAAAGCTAAGTTTAAACTGTTACATAGGGTCTTTAGCTCCCAGACAAGAACAATACACAGTAAAAGTGTGTCTGGTCAAACATAATACAGAATTATCCAACTTTTTGTAAAGTTTTACTCTACCTGCTTCTCACAGCATCTACAGCCCCCAGAAGCTTTCTTCATACTGTTTTCAACATCTAGAGCCCTTTTGGGATATGTTCTTTCTTTTTTAGTCACGCTCCCCCGGCAGAGAGGACAATGTGTTCCACTTTCTCTGATAGCTGTCAAGAAGCACTTCCTGCAAAACCTGAATTAAAAAGTTAACCACAAACACAGGTTAGCAAAGTGAAGAGTGAGATACTTTGTCCTTGAAGAAAGCTGGCTGATTATTAGGTGGAAAAAGATGTCAGAGTAATGGTCTACTGTAAACAAGTCTTTATAAGTAAAAGCAAAGTGAACTAATGGTGCTTACAAAGAAGCATATGAAAATAAGGGGAACTTGGCAATGCACTTTATGTAAAGATCTTACTATTTACTGACTAGTATTCCTGAGCTGTACACTGGATTGATCATTAATGAGATATTAAATGGTGCAGCAGGCACATGATATTGGAAAGCCTTATCAAAGTAAGCCTTGTTTATCGTCCTTAAGCGGAGCATTTAGCATGAAAGATCTCAGTTCACCAGCCTTCTGTGGTTCTCTCACTTTGTTTCCTGGTGTACCAGCTGCCAAAGCTATTTTGCTTTGCTACAAAGCAGTACTTTGTAATTAAATGTTGCTCTGAAAAACGCAGAATAGATGAACTGAAAAGAGAGAACAACTACGCTATGGTCCTTGCTGGAAAACGAGCAGGAAACTATAAAGTTAAAACCGTGAGTTAGGTTAGATGCGCGAGATGTTTCCATCCACCAGCCAGCCGAGAGCTTGCTTCAGGAGGTGGCTTTTCTAACCAGCCGGCCCTCATCCGCTACAAAAGAAAGAGGCGTGGGAAGGCTGGGGAAGCCCTTGGCACGCAAGCCTCAAAGCCGGCTCCCTCCTGGAGTAGCCGTTCCGGGGCCCTGGGTGGCAGGCTTCGGGTGCAGGCCGGGGGCCGGTATGCTGAGAGGGGACGGCTAAGGATTAAAATGCAGAGAATGGGAGGAGGGGAGGGACGGGCTTGTGAAGGAGGCGAAGGGGCTACGGGGGGGCAGGGAGGAATACCCACACGTGCTGGCAGTTCGCGGTCCTCACGGGCGTTTTGAACACCTCCTGGCAAACGGGACAGTAAAAATCATCCTCGCTGAAGCACGCCTCCGCCGCTGTGGCTCCCTCGGCCATGGCAACACGTCAGGGCCTTTCCGTGCGGATCGGCTACTACGAGCAAGCCCCACCGTGGTGAGCCGAGCCCCGCTCCGTTACGCTTCCGCGGCGCCGGGCAGCCGCGGGCGGAGGACGCTGGGGGTCCAGGAGAAGATGGCGGGTGGGCACCTGGCACCAGGTGGGCGTCCGTGCTGCGGCGGCTGGGGGCAGCGGGCCCGGCCTGCGCTCTGCAAGCCCCGCCCTTCCCTCCCCTCCCCACCCCTTCCCGGCCCGGGAAGCGCCCCCAGCCGCGCTCGACCTGGCAGTGCTCGGGTAGGGAACCGTAGCGGCAGGTACCGCCCCAGCCACGGCTCCGGCCGCGCTCCCGGCGGCACTCACCGCCGCTCTTCCGTGGGGAGGCAGAGACAGGGGCGGGACCGGGGCCTGCGTTTCCATGGCGATTGCCTCCCGGCCCGCCGGCGCGGCTACGACACGGCGGGCCGGCCTCCGCTCCGCCCTGCCCGGGAGGCTTCCCCGCTCCGCCTACCACTCCCTCCACCCATCCTGGGCCCGCAGGCGCTTGAGGCCGAGGCGCCGGCACCGGGGGGCCTTCTGGGGCGGAAGGGGGGCTCACCCCTCAGCGTGTGTCCGGCAGGAGCGGGGGTTGGCGCCCCACTCCCGGATACCCGGCGCCAACCCCCGATCCCATCTCGACATGAGAGGAAATTACGATCACTTTGTACACAAATAAAGCAACAGTGAAAACGTGCCTGCTCTGGTTTTTGTTTGTTTATAGACCAGCTGATGCTAGCGGTGATTTTATGAGGTAGTTTTAGTGGTATCAGTAATATTCGGGCCAGGCTTTCTGCCTCCTGAATGGTGGTGATGAAATCTTAGTCTTTGCACTGTTCTTCCAGAATGAGGGATTATAAGAATACTATGGTGGTGATACAGCAATACCAACAAATTTCTCCAGATAGGGAAGACTTTGGATCTGTTAAGCATATCTAGATCTCATTTGAGCTTAACTCATGGAGGATTAACAACAAACAAAATGTTGGGGAAGCTTTAAAAGGAAATGGATTTGTAGAGATTATGTCACTTATATTAACTTGCGGAGATGATTAAGGTTCAGGCGAGGCCTGGGCTCTCACCCTGTATCAAAGACATGGGGCAAAGGCTGAGAAGAACTGGGTCTTTCACCTTTGTTTCCCTTCTGTCCTTAAGACAGCAGCCATCTATACCACAGCTAGATGCTCAGAGGTGATCGGTAGCTGGGGAGATCCTGCTCTCTGTAGCCTAAAGTTAGACTTTTGGGGGAGAGAGAGTGGTTTGCATACACCTTCAATCTCCTGCATTTCAAAACAGTTTAGGCTTCAAATGTCCATCAGAGCCACTTTTTGTATCTGCCAGTGATACGACAGCAAAAGGCAATGTCCATGCCACCTTCTGGGCTGGTGGTTTGGAAGGGAGGGAGGGAACTGCAGGAAACAAAGCCAAAGCTCAGCTTCAGGTCTCTCCTCAGGTGAGGATGAAGGGCAAACCATCCTGTGATTCCATGAAGGACACTGGCTCAGTTTTCTTACTTGGGGTCTATTGCAATTACCATTACCAAAAAATGCTAGTATCCTCCTAACCAAAAGCAGAACAGCATGGCAAAGCCAATGACTGCCTAAATACCTTCACTTTAGACCACATGGAGGCAAAATTTGGATGCCTGTAAGTACCAGGAGATCTGAGATACTGAAGGGAAGCATATACAAAGCAATGGGCCAAATGGAAGAATTAAATCACCTGGGCTGAGATATTTACTTCAGGTTTTGGAGAAAATCTGGTGGAAGTGGTAGAACATCCTGGGCAGGAGAAGGCAGGGCTGGGATTTGAGGTGTTGTGTGGTAAGATGTCCTCTTGTAACTGTGGTTGTCCTAGCTCAGGAGGTTACTACTCCCCTGTGCTTATCACTGCTCTGTTAAGGGCTGCTAATGGTTAGCTTAGTTGTTCACGGGCTGGCAAAACCCTTCCTATTTAAAGTGATTGACTGATTATCTTCTTCCCTGAAATGAAGTAGGAAGCCAGCCTGCTATATCTGGAAAGGCACAATGAGTAATAAATGGAAGTTGGCAGTAACCTCTTCAAAAGTGCAAGTGCAAGCCAAAAGAAAGCACAGAACTACACCTTAAGTAGGAAATAGCCTGGAAAATGCTTCTGGTGAGTTTTTGTGTCCATTAGGACTATACCACAGCTGTACAACCAGCTTCAAGCTTCAGGTGTGCCCTATGCATGTCGTGGCATTGCATTAAAAGAAAGAATTACAGAAGCCTCAGTTCAGATGCTACGCAACTACCTTGTGTTACTCACTGGTAGAGCAGTGTGGCCTTCATCAAATGTGGCCTTATGTCTCAATTTCTCAATCTGTTAAAGGGGAGCAGTTTTTAACCATCAAATAAGGTTGCTGTGAAATTAATTACTGCAGGTAGAGAGGGTTATGCCCTTTGAAGGCAGGTGTTAAACAAAAGCAAAGATTTATTGCTAAAGCAACATGACAGGTCTATTTGAACTTTGTTCGGGAGACCACAGTATTTATCGATTAGTAGCTTTTGACAGTGGGAGAAATTGCATGGATGACCTCAGAGAAGTAAGCTACAGAAAGGTGTGTGGGAAGGCACTCATGCTTTTGCTAATGTTATTGTAAATCTTGATCCTTTAATAAAGCTGTGACCTTGGAGTTGACAACTAGTATGCCACAGAGCAATACGCAGCCTGGCACAAGCCTTGTAAATCTTACGTAGTTTTTGCCATTGACAGAGACAACATGTAAAGAGAAATCAGGCCGCTGAAGTTTATGAACACATTTATTTGAAGGAAAGCATTTTAAATCAGACTTTTTAGATTAAATTAAACCAATGGCCCTGCCAACTTTTTATTCCTCATGATAAAATGTGTTTGTGAAATGAAATCTCAAGAGTGAAAACCTGTAGAACTGCTCATAAAATTTTCCTTTTTGCAGGGGACAGGTGCGAAGTGATCACCTTTGCACAGCTATTGTGTAACTTTCTATAACTTATTTTTGTACAATTATTATTTTGATTGCTTTCGTCACAATGCTGCAAGAAAAGCACATCTTCTTGCCAGTATGAAAAGGGTTGGGATTTGTTCTGTGGGAGCCGTCAAAGATGACGTGAGCAGAAGGGGAAAGGGAAAGAGCTGTGTTACTGCAGGGGGATCAGAAGGTGCCATGTGCAAGGGGAAGGACATCTTTTGCTCTTGCCAGGTGTATCTCTACTGACAAAGAACACTTGCGGTCATAAAACTAAGCACAATGCTACTGTGGGGTTAGCTTATTTCAGATATATAAAAGGTCCTCGATACAGCTTTTTAGATGTGCAGGCTACTTTTCGCTGGCAGACCAGATTAATTTTTTTTTTTTTTTTTTTTTGTGTTACTGAAATATTCCCACAAATTCCACCCTTTGGAGCATTCACTGCCCATCTTCCTGACAGGGGAGTTTTCATTCCCAAGGACAGTTCTCAAAGAGAAAGGAAAGCAACTTTCCCACGCAGATGAAACATTGAATCTTTCCCTTCCCAAAAAGGAGCCACTTCCTGATTCCAAGAAAAACTAGTGAAGACCTAAAAGCCTATTGGGAGTTTCCTTGTTAAAGTGTTACCATGTGATTAAAGCTACTTTAATCACTGCACATGTTTCTATGTATGAATAAACAGGTTATCTTTGGAAGTTACTATGTTACAGTGTACATGTAAAAACTGTATATATATTATTTAACTTACATAGTAAGAATACTATGTTATACAGGTTAATTAAAAGACACTGTCACTCTCTTGAAATGTTTTCTTTTTTTTATTATAAACCTAATATTCCCTTCTTGCTATTCTTTCAAGGCAGCTTTCACTTACCAACCCTTATCTTATAACTCCCCCCAATTTTAATTTAAACTGAAATCTAATTTAAAATAATTTAAAAACAAAACAGCACTTAAGAAAAAAAATAAAATAGATTCATGCCTTAATTAATTAATTCATGCATTCATCCATTAATTGCAAAAGGCTAAATTTTAATAACCATATTTATCTACAGAACATGTTCTTCCACTCTTCTGCAATAGTCCTTATGTGCTGTTTGGATGATTCACATGCACATATTGTAAGAATGACCCACCTAGAACTCTTTCAAGAAGACCTTAACCAACAGTGTCTATGCCCTGGAAGGAAAAAAGAAAGGATATTTTATTGATTATCAAGCTAGTAATTCATGTGTTAATAGATTTAATTTTGACTGCTTGAGTTACCAGTTAACAAAATACTAGCTCCGGTGGGTTTGCATCCGTGCTTGAAGTTTACTGACTAACTTTCTATTCTTTAGTAGTAAACACTGCAATGTAAAGCAAGAGGAATCATTATGAAAGCTGAAATAACTGAGAATGTCAAGTGCAGAAACAGACTAATTCAGGGACTTTGTAAACCCCAGCAATGCCAATACTCTTTATTAAAGAGTCCAATTTGGTGATGCATGTTACATTACTATGTATAGAAATAAATACTCCAATCTTAGCTATACTTCGTGAAGCTATATATGGTGAGCTATCATTAAAGTGCTATCATACATAAGTCTGTTTCTGCCATGTGCATGAGTTACATGCTCAAATTTTTAAGATGGCTCTTCACCCCTGCCCTCCATTTGGACATTTTGGACATAATTTTCTTTAGTGCCTCTGCAACATTTGAAAAAATAATGGTTTATATTTGTCTTTGGGACTTTGTCTAGAACAAACATATAGAAAAATACTTACTAATATTCTTGATAAACTCTTAACAGCACATTAATGCTCGTGCTTCATTTTGTGTTTTACAGCCCAGTCAGACAGCAAACAGCAGCAGCACTTTCAGAAGTACAACTGTGTCATCCTAAGTTCTTGTAGAAAAAAAAAGTATTGTTGAAACAGCTGTTGTTTAAAGTATGTAGGATTGGCTGGATGACCGCATGCAAAGAATTGTGGTCAGTGGCTCAGTGTCCAGTTGGAGACCAGTAACGACTGGTGTTCCTCAGGGATCAGTGTTGGGACTGGACTTCTTAACATCTTTGTTGGTGACTTGGACAGTGGGATTGAGTGTGCCCTCAGCAAGTTTGATGATAACACCAAGCTGTGTGGTTCAGTTGATACGCTGGAGGGAAGGAATGCCATTCAGAGGGACCTTGACACGCTTGTGAGGTGGGCTGATGACAGCATGATGTTTAACCATGCCAAGTGCAAGGTCCTACA